TTGATCCTTAGAATTGTGCTTTTAGTCTCTATGTCATTTAATTCTGCTCTTATCTTGGTTATTTCCTTCCTTCTGCTTGCTCTGGGCTGTCTTTGTTGTTCCTCAAGTTCTTGTAGACGTAGGGTTAGGTTGTTTGTTTGAAATGTTTCTAACTTTTTTAGGTGAGCCTGTATTGCTATGAACTTTCCTCTCAGGACTGCCTTGGCTGTGTCCCATAAGTTTTGGGTTGTTGTGAGTTCATTTTCATTTGTTTCCAGAAACCTTTTGATTTCTTCCCTAATATCATTCTTGACCCATTCATTGTTTAATAGCATGCTATTTAATCTCTATGATTTTGAGTGTTTTGGGTTTTTTTCCTTGGGGTTGGTTTCTAGCTTCAGTCCCTTGTGATCCGAGAAAATGCTTGGTATGATTTCAATTTTCTTGAAATTGTTGAGTCTTGTTTTGTGTCCTATCATGTGGTCAGCCTTTAAAAAGGTTCCGTGTACATTTGAAAAGAATGTGTTTTTAGCTTCTTTGGGATGGAGGGCTCTGTATATATCAGTAAAGTCCATTTCATCTAGGGTATTGTTCAATGCCACAATATCTTTGTTGATATTTTGTTTGGAAGATCTGCCCATTTTTGATAGTGAGGTATTAAAATCCCCCACTATAATTGTGTTGCTGTCCATATCTTTCTTGAAGTCCTCTAAGATTTTCTTTATGTATTTGGGTGCTCCTATGTTGGGTGCATATATATTTACAATATGTATGTCTTCTTGGTGGATTCTTCCCTTGAGTATTATGAAGTGACTTTCTGAGTCTCTCTTTATGGACCTTTTTTGGAAGTCTGTTTTGTCTGATATGAGTATTGCTACCCTGGCTTTTTTTTCCTGTCCATTTGCTTGGAAGATTTGTTTCCAGTCCTTCACTTTCAGCCTGTGCAGGTCTTTTAACCTGAGGTGGGTCTCTTGTAGGCAGCATATGTGTGGGTCATTTTTTCTTATCCATTCAGCTATTCTATTTCTTTTGATTGGAGCATTTAATCCATTTACATTTAAGGTTATTATTGATAGGTACTTATTCATTGTCCTTTATGTACCTGTGTTCCTCTCTCTCTCTCTCTCTCTCTCTTTTCCTTCCTTTCCTTAAAGCAGCCCCTTTAGCATCTCTTGCAGAGCTGGTTTGGTGGAGGTGTATTCTTTCAGACTTCTTTTGTCTGGGAAGCTTCTTATTTGGCCTTATGTCTTGATTGAGAGCCTTGCTGGGTAAAGTAGCCTTGGTTACAGACCTCTGGTTCTCATTACTTGGAATATGTCTTGCCATTCTCTTCTGGCTCGGAGTGTTTCTTTTGAGAAGTCAGCTGTTAGCCTTATTGGGGCTCCCTTGTATGTTACTTCCTGTTTTTTCCCTTGCTGCCTTTAAGATTCTCTCTTTGTCTTGAAATTTTGCCATTTTAATTATGATGTGTCTTGAGGTGGGCCTCTTTGGGTTCCTCTTGATTGGGACTCTCTGTGTTTCCTGGATTTGTGTGACTTTTTCCTCTCATCAAATTAGGGAAGTTCTCCATCATTACTTTTTCAAATAGGTTTTCTATCCCTTGCTCTTCTTCTCCTCCTTCTGGTATCCCTATTATATGGATATTATTACGTTTCATATTGTCTTGCATTTCTCTTAATCCCTCTTCATTCTTTCTAAGCTTCTTTTCCTTTTCTTGCTCTTTCTGGGTGTTTTCTTCTACTTTTTCCTCTAGCTCGCTGATCCCATCTTCTGCTTCATTGATCCTGCTTTTCATTCCTTCTACTGTGTTCTTCAGTTCAGAAATTGTATTCTTCATTTCCTCTTGGCCCTTGTTGAGAGTTTCTAGTTCCTTTTTCATGTTGATGTACTTTTCAGTGAGATCATTGTAGCTTCCCTGTAGTTTCTGGTAGCTCATTGTGAGCTCATTGAGCTTCCTGACAATCATTGCTTTGAACTCAATATCTGATAGTTGAGTTGCCTCTATTTCATTTAGCATTTTTCCTGAGGCTTCCTCCTTTCCTTTCATTTGGGGATTGTTTCTTTGTTTTCTCGTTGTTTGTGGGATTCTTCTTGTTAGCCTTTGTTTCTTAAATTGATCTGTTCTTGTTTCCTGTGATTATGGTGTGAACTTCTGTGGTAGAATACCTGTGAGATTCAGTGGTGCAGTCTCCGTGTATCTTGGTGTTCACAACTTCCCCCTACTCATCTGGTTTTTCAATGTCCGCTATAATTTTTGATGTCCGGTTTAAAAAATGTTTCGGTAAGCTAGGCCATTTGCTCTGTTCCTCCGCCAATCCACAAGTTCTCCTCCCCTGCACAGAAGCTGAGACTCATGCTCCTCCATCTTAAGAGTCCTCTTAACTAATTATTTAATTAATGCATTCATTTAATCAAAATTTTGTCAAAGTCATGAAAAACAAACAAACAAAGACTGATAAATTATCACAGTGTGAAAAGATTAAATGGTCATCTAAAGGTCACTGGGTGTCCTGAATGGGATCCTTTAACAGGAACCTGGCTGCAGGTGCGTGGTCCTCTCCAATAATTTGCTCTTGAGTTGCAGCTCATCTGTTTAACCTATTGCCCACATTTTTGCTTTAGGTAACTTCTTTTTCATTTCAGGATGTTCCCTTTCGTTCTTTTCAAATCAGTCTGTCTGTTTAAATTATCTTTTAAAAAATGTTTTCTGGACTTTTGTTTCTCTATTTAAACAGTTGTTATAGTCTATTTCAGATTGTTGTTTTACTATTTCAGTTCTTGGGGGCACAAATTGCCCTCTCAGTTGTGTCTCCTGACTCTTACTCCCTGTGTCTGGTTTTTTTTTTTTATTATGAGCTAGGTTGTTTGTTGTTTTTTTTTCTTGTGTGGCTTGCCAAGGTCCATTTATTTATCTTGGTTTCACAGCTTTAGGAATCCTATACCACATAGGATATTGGGCCCAGGCACAATGCACACCTGTTTTGATTTCTCATGCAAGGATTTTTTTTCTCCCTTTATAGAACCCCAGGCAGGGTTAAGCTTTCTTGCTGATCAGTGGGCAGAGTTTTTCTCTCCATCTTTTCATAAGGACTGTTCTTCAAGGGTCCTGACTTTATTATTCACAGTCACCACTCTTTCTCACATGGGCCTGAAGACCCATGACCCTAGACATTAAAGCCAGTTTCAGGCCCATACCTTTTCCCGTCTCCCCACCCTGCAGCTCAGCTTACAGTAGTCTTTCTGTTTTCTTTCTGGATTCACTTTTTTTGTTAGCCTAACAAGGGTTTAAACCTTATTTGATTGTCAGTTATATTGAATCCAGCATTTCAAGTATTTAGAATTGATATCTTCATTATTAGCTTAGTCTACCATGTTGCTGGAACCAGAATTCTGTGTATATAATCATCCCTCGGCACCCATTGGGTACTGGTTTCAGGACCCTCTGCAGATGCCAAAATCTGCTGCCTTACATATATTTGCATATAACCTATGCACACTCTCCTATATACTTTCAATCATTTCTGCATTATTTATGATGCCTAATTCAGTGTAAATGCTATGTAATTATCTTATACTGTATTATTTAAAAAATAATGACAAAGAAGTCTACATGTTCGGTATAGATGCAACCATCATAGGTCTAACCATGTAGTACATGTCAGGGCCAACATTTCAGGTTTTTTCCCCCCAAATATTTGTGATGCCCAGTTAATTGAATCCTTGGATATGGAGCCCATCGATATGAAGGGCTGACTGCGTGACACTGTGTAGTATTTCTTATGCACATTGACATGAGACCATTGAGCTCAAAGAAGTAAGATACACATGATTATATAGAAGTCTTGGCATTCAAATCATTCTGCCTTATCCTGATGGTGGGGGAATGGGTGTAGGATTTTGTCATTCTTGTTCTTATTTCCTACCCATTCTATTTAAATGTTAAGCTCCTCTAACTTTAAAGTATTAATGGGTTGATTTTCATGAAAGTTAAAGGAATAATAAATGGGAAGACACAGGAATTGGCTCAGTAAATAATAAGCAGATATGAATATCCATAGGGTTTGACCTGAATCACATCCATAGGGTCTTTTGAAAAGTCAGTAAAAAGATCTTGAGCCAACAACTTCCTGTCATCTTTCCGAGTTAGCATTTCCTATTGTGGCTCTACAAGGGGGCCATCACATCACAGAGCCTTGGAAATAGGTTTTCTAACTAGAATAGTAGTACTAGAATTGTTGAATGCTTAGAGATCTTTTCTCCCCATGTTTCTCCCTCCCTCATCCCCCAAAATCTACAGTCAGTCAAGGGCATTGTTACTCCTCCTGTATCCTGACTTCATGGTAGCGCTGATGGCCAGCTGTGCATTTGTTGAATGGAGAACATGAACTTGGCACTGGCTTATCTTAATGCAGTGGGCGTTTTCATCTGTTATGAACTTCATCAATGAAGTTGGTTGTCTGGTGCCTGTCCTGAATGTAAGCACCACTTAAGTGATTTAGAGAATACAGAGACTCAGTTCTACACTGTGGTTATCTGTGTTGCTGGCAGGACTTGAAGCCTGGTTGGGAGTTTTACAAGGTGCAAGTGCTTGTTCTCCCTTTCTCTGTGACTGTAAGAAGTCCCAGTCAGTCTTGATTGGGTTAGCATCATTTGTGGATTCTTGAAAGCTTTGGCTCTCTCAGCACTGATCCTAGTTCCATTTTTTCCTTGCCTTTTTTTTATCTATAGCATTAGTCTTACGTTTATCTACTATTATTAAAATGTCCTCCCACTTTACTTTCAGTGTACCGGTGTCACATATTGTCATTCAGCAATGTGTTTTCAGAACTAGTTTATAATTTTTTTCTAAGAATTTTACCAAACCCTTGATTTTTATTTCTCTAACAACTGAAATTAACCTTTGAACTTTTTATGTGTTTATTAAAAAAATAAAACATCTTTAGCTTATTTTTCACACTCTAGCTCATTTGGTCAGTGTTTGAAATTTATGTGACTGGGTAATGTCAGATTCCATTTTTCAGGTGGAAGATGAGCTCAGTTCTCCAGTAGTAGTGTTCAGATTTCTGCAGGAACTACCAGGCTCAGGTAGGAGATTCTAAAAAGAGGGTGTGTGTTCGTGTGTGCGTGTGTGTGTGTGCGTGTGTAAGGGCTTTGAATTTTAAACTATTTCAAGTGAAATACATAGTCCAAAATATTTTGATTGCTAAAATCTTAAGTCATCATTTCAGAAAAATTTAATAATTTTCATAATAAGAACTCAACCCCAGACCTAAAGGCCTTATCACTTTCCTGAAAATTTCCTATGTTAAACTAGTGGTTTCCAAATTCTGGTGCCTGCACTGGTACTGCCCCTTAGTAGATAATTTGATTTAGTAGGTTGGATCCGGGAATCTCTACTTTTTAAGACTGTCCTAAGTACCACCAGCCTAGCCCAGCACACTGTTATATTTTTCACCTGGGTGGCCACAGTCCCCTCTGAACTGATCTGTCAATTTCCGTACATCCTACACATTGTATTCCGGACTGACTGTTCTCTACATGACAGTCAGAATGAGCACTATAAGTGGAAGTCACATTGTGTCATTTTCCGGGGCCTCACTATTGTAGTTGAATAAGGTCCTGGCTCTATACCAGGCCTTGTAAGGCCTGCAGCTCTAGCCTTTGCCTTCCTCTCTGGCTTCCTCTTAGGCCACTTTCCTCTTGCTCACTGGAGTAAGACCTTTGCAATTGCTGTTTCCTCTGCCTCTGATGCATTTCCCCTTGCTCTTCTTCTGGCTGGCTTCTTCTCACCATTCAGGTCTCCATGATGTCCACTTCCGCAGAGAGGCCTTTCCCATCTGTCCTGTCTAAGGTGACTCCCAGTCTGTCAGAGCCCCCCTTCTTTCATGGCACTCACAACAGTGTCAGTGATTTCATTGCTTTTTATATGGTCTGTTTCCTCAAGCACAATAAAGTGTAAACTCCAAGGTGACAAAAACCTTACCAGCCTCATATCCCTCAGGCCTGACACAGCTCCTGGCACAAGTAGGCACCCAGACTGTTTGATGAGCACAAGGTAATTCTGCTGTGACTTACTTGGCACAGTGCTTAGTCAATAACCTATAATGTTACAGTTTGATTTCCTTTAGAAATTCCTTGAAAAAAAACATTTTAAATGAAATTAAGAATTCTATTTGTGTGAATAAATTCAAGGATTATATTTTTCATGAAAAAGTAACATTTAGTTTAGTAAGACACATTCATTTTTAAATTATGTTGTAAAAAAACATAAAATTTGCCACCTTAACCATTATATGTAGAGTTTGGTGGCCTTAAATATACTCACATTGCTGTACAGCAGCTCTCGCGAACTCTTTCATCCTGCAAAACTGACACTCCGCACCCATCAAACAACTGCTCCCCATTTCTTCCTCTTCCCAGGCCCTGGCAGCCACATTCTACTTTCTGTTTCTATTAATTTGACTTTTCTAGGTATTTCATAAGAGCAGAAGCACGCAGTACTTGTTCTTTTGTGACTGGCTTATTTCACTTAGAATAATGTCCTCAAGGTTCATCCATTTTGAGCATGTGACAGAATTTTTAGGCTAAATAATAGTCTATTTTATGTTTATACCACATTTTGTATATTCATTCATGTAAGGTATACATTTGATTTCTGTAATATTTGAGACTTTTGGGGGACAGTTAATGTTAGGAGCTAAATAAAATGGAGTTGGAGGGGCATGTGTTTTAGGTCCCTGTGTTTCTGGGAGGTAAATTCCCTTTTTCTGTTTCGCTGTCAGATCCAGTGCTTAACGCTATCCCAGCGCCCAACATGGCACCTTCAACAGTTAGCCGGGAGCGGCACTCCTGTGATGCATTGAATCGCTGGGTGAGAATGGCAGTCCTGTGCTTTCTCCTGTGTCCCAGGTGGTTGGGATAACACATGGTCATGTCTAGGAAATTGGACCCATAGGAGGGAGCCCTCTGTGAAGGCGCTGGGCTCCATTCTGGGATTTCCTGATCAGATCACTGCCTCACATACTGTGTGACTTCTGGCACATCTTCCCAGCAGAGTTTCCTCAGTTTCCTCACGTGACCATTTCTTTTCTGTCAAACAGCATGCACCATGTGGGCTGCAGTGCAGCCACTTTGGGGTTCTGGTGAGGGTCTATAGTGATAGCAGAAGCACGTAAGCCAGAGGCTGCTCGACACCCCTGGCAGCCGGGCAATATGAATCAAAGGCATTGTGCTTTGGCTGCCTTTTGACACTGAAATTGTACCTCCAGGAGTTTTAGTCTAAAGAATGTCGTAAACGATGTACGGATGCTTAGCAAAGCAGTATTAATTATGGCAAAATATTGGACATGCCCAACCTAGGGTGTTTGGTGAATAAGTTACAGTCCATCCACACGATGACGTTCAGAAGAGCCAGGTTAAGCCATGTAGCTGGGTGTTATGAAAGACAGCAAATGGTCATAAGTTATTTGAAAAACATGCACATCAGTAGGCAGGATATAGGATATCCTGTTTTATGATGACAACAGAGCACACACACATACCATTCACACAGAAAGACAGGGTGGGTATATACCACATAGCAACAGTGGGTGTTCCTCAGCAGTGTATTGTGGATAATCTTTTATTCTTTTGGTTAATCTTTATTTCCTAGATTTTTCTATAGTGAACTTAGATTTTTTTTAAGTAGGAATAGGTGCAAAGCCCTGACCAGTATGGCTCAGTTGGTTGGGTGTTATTACACAAAGCAAAAGGTCACCAGTTTGATTCCTGGTCAGGGCACACGCCAGGGTTGCAGGTTCAGCACTGTTCAATGTTTCTCTCCCTCATTGATGTTTCTCTCCCTCTTGCCCTGTAATTTATTTACTTATTTCTAGAGAGAGGGGAAGAGAGAGAGAAAGAGAGGACGAGAAACATCAATGTGTGGTCTGCTCTCATGCACCCCCTACTGGGGACCTGGCCTGCATCCCAGGCATGTGCCCTGACTGGGAATTGAACTGGCAACCCTTTGGTTCACAGACCGGCACTCAGTCCAGTGCAGGACAGTAAATAAAATGTTGAAAAAAAAAAGATATAAAATATACTATTTTTAAAAGGAATTGCCATAGTATTCAGAGAAAATCAAAAGATTAAAGGAAGTTAGCCTCCCAGGAGCCTCTTGGGTCTTGGCTGAATAGACTAGGATCGGTCTGAAGACACTTGATTCTCTCCTTGCAAAAGTGTGTTCATTCTACACTTTTCTCTGCAGCTGGGAGAACAGCTGAAACAGCTGGTGCCTGCAAGTGGCCTCACCATCATGGATCTGGAAGTGGAAGGCGTGTGCTTGAGGTTCAGCCCTTTAATGACAGCAGCAGGTAACTGGTCTCCACAGATTGGCCCCACTTTTGTTCTAGGAAGCAACAGTGACATGTCTATGAATTCCAGGCCATGGGGTTGATTAGCTTTCCCCTGTGACATTCTGTTCTCTTTCAAGAGGCTTCTTCTTTTGGGTTAAATTTAGGTCGATTAATCTTCCAGTGTAATTTCACAGAAACAGAGACTTCTGAAGTCACTTGAACATATACTCAATATATAAAAAGCCTATGTTTTGATGTCTTGTGACCCTTTTCTGTTCAGTGGTTCTCAGTTCAGGCTGGGCCCACCCTAAAGAGATTCTGATTTACTTGGTCTGGAATGGAGCCTCGGCATCTTATTTTTAAAAGTTCCCTTGGTGATTTGAATAGGCCAGCAAGGGTTGAGAACCATTGTTTTAGTCGTTTAAGAAAGCAGTGTAGCTGAAAGTACATGGACTTGGATGACATAAAGTCCTGGGTATTTGTCGCCCCCTCGACCACTTCATACCTGTGGGGACCTTGAGCAAGTTTCTTACCTCCAGACCTGTACCCCGCTACCACATGGTAAGGGTACAAAGATTAAAATGAGATCATGTACTCAATATGTAAAAAGCCTGAAATAGTGCTTAGCATGTTATAGCAAGCACTTAAAAATAAGCTTAAAGCCCTGGCTGGTGTGGCTCAGTTGGTTGGAGCATCATCCTATAACCAAAGGGTTGTGGGTTTGATCCCCAATTTGGGTGCAGATGATGCCAGATCCCAGCACATATGATCCCCGATCCAGGCACATGTGGGAGGTAACCAATCAATCTTCTCGCACATCGATGTTTCTCTCTCTCCCTTCCTTGCTCTCTAAAAGCAATGAAAAAAAAAATGTCTTCAGGTAAGGATTTTTTTTAAAAAGCTGAAAAAAGTATATTAAAATTTTTGTGCTTTTTGTTTTTGAAATGATTTAAACATTTCAGACAATGTTTGGTGGTTTTTATGAGATATTTCCAACATTTCGGGAAAGAGAATTTCTCAGAGACATCAAAGGAGGGAAGTGTAGGCATTTGTCTGCAAAGAAAAGCTGTCATGAAGGTGGCTGGTGGCCTCAGGGTTCTCTAGGAGTCTCTGCTTTGCTCTGTGGGGTCCCTACCCCGAGCCCCAGAGGCTTGGTCTGTAAAACTGGACAAGTGAGTTGAGGACGCCAAGGCAGCAAGAACTGAGGCTTCGTGAGAGCCCGTGCAGCGTTCCCGTCGAGGGAGGTGAGGGAGCGGTGGTGGTGACACGACTCTGGGCTCCCTGAAGCCTCCCATGCTCTAGTCTTCAGGCGTGACTTAGTTCTGTCCTCTTCATCACCCTGCCTTTCCTGCCTCCCCGCCACAAACACGCCCAAGTCCTTTTCTTTCCAGATGTCAACGTGCAGAACTGTGCGGTTGCCTCTTTGTTCTTAACCTGTGATAGGATGTTTATAACATGACTTAAGCAGAATCTTTCTGTGGGAAGAATCCAATTTCCACATTATAGTTGCATTGTGTATTAAATTGGAGGGGCTAATTCTGTCTTTATGAGAAAAAAACTGCACCTGGAGGAGCTGGAGATATATATATATATATTTTTTTTTTTTTTTAATTAAATCCACTGGGGTGACATTGGTCCATACGGTCATACAGATTTCAGGTGCACATTTCTATGATACATGATATGTATATTGCATTGTGTGTCCACCACCCAAAGTCAAATCATCTTCTGTCACCATGTATTTGGCTCCCTTTTTAGTGGGTTTTTTTTTTTTAAGCACCTCATCTGCAGCTAACTGGATGTTCCTAGAGCTGTAGGCCTTTCTGGTAGAGGAAATGGGAGCCCTGCCCTCTCATTTTTAGCCATTCCTTAACCATTTCTCTAATGTGCTGTGCATGTTTTTAGTTTTAGGAACTCGGGGAGAGGATATGGATCAGCTTGTAGCCTGCATACAAAGCCAGCTGCCTGTCCTAACCTGTACACTGCAGCTGCGAGAGGAGTTCAAGCAGGCGGTGGCGGGAACAGCAGGCCTCTTATACGTTGATGATCCTAACTGGCCTGGAATAGGGGTTGTCAGGTATGGTTTTTGGCTTGCTCCTGATGTTAATTTAATTTCTCTTTGCTGTATAAACACCATTGTGGGTTGTTTATGAACCAGTTTAACAATCTCAGATCAGTGCATGTAGTCACGGTATACATGTCTAGTGGAAATTCAACTCCATGTTCTGGGCGCTTACAAAAGCAGTGTAGCAGGCGATGGGGCCACCACTATACTCAGTAGCAGTTGCTGTATGTGCTTTCTGTGCCAACCCACAAGTTACTAGGACAAGATGTATTCAGGTGTACACCTGACAGGTGGTTCCTGTGCGTGGCGTGTAAGAATAAGAACCCAGTTCCCTAGCAGAGCAAATGCCTGTGTCCTCAGTAGTCAATGTTCTGTCCTTCCTCTGGCTGCTTTCCACCTCCTTTCAGGATGAGGGACAGCTCCTTTTTTATGATGAGACTTCCAGACCTGGCCCTCACTCTCTAAATTTCATGGACCTATAGGCTTGGCCTTTCCTTCAGATATTCTTGAAAGTTCGTGATCTTGAAACCAAGTGGCTCCTTTGCCCATTTGTCTCATTCCACATCCTTGCTAACCTCTCATAGCTTATACTCCCTATGCAATCCTGTGTCTGAAGAGACATTTGATACTTTAAACACTGTTGTTTGATGTTGTTTATAGGTACGAACATGCTAATGATGATAAGAACAGTTTGAAATTAGATCCAGAAGGGGAAAAAATTCATGCTGGACTCCTGAAAAAGTTAAATGAACTGGAATCTGACCTTACATTTAAAATTGGTAACTACAACTTTTATAAGTCAACTGTGAACTTTGCCAGGCCACGTCTAAGTTGCTTGAGAGAAAATGGGCTCTCTTTGAGGAAACGGTTTCGTTCTTCTTGGGAACTGAGATAGCTCCTTTCCCTTTTGCAGCCTCACTGGGCTTCCTGTCTTCTCATTAGAACCACCTTCCTCACTCCATAGGGAGGCTCCTTTGCCCGTGGTTGTGCTGTTATACAGAAAAGCAGTCTTGTGTCTCACTCATGACAGCTATCCAACTTGGTGTGCTGTTTGTTCCCACAGGCCCTGAGTATAAAAGTATGAAGAGCTGTATTTACATTGGCATGGCGAGTGACGACACAGATGTTTCTGAACTCGTGGAGACCATTGCAGTCACAGCCCGAGAAATTGAAGAAAACTCAAGGGTCTGTAAGAGTAATAAGCATCTTGTTCCTTTTCTGGGTTTTGCCTGGGCACCTAACTAGAGTCACAGAGGAATATGCTACCCTCAGAAATGTCTGTTCATTGATTCTTTCCCAAAAAATGTGTAAGTCTTTGCCAGGCATCAGGAATGCCAAGTGGATTTGACATGGTCCCTTCCCTCATAAGCCAGTTGGGGGAAGAGATGCGTATAACCAAGGGAGGTGGTAAATGCTATTGGGTAGAAGTTAGGGGTAGCTTAGCATTCAGGAAGATGTACTCACTCCGCCTGACAAGGTCAAGGAAGACTTCCTGGTTTTGGCCAGGTCCCAAGTCTAAATGAGACATGTTTCTGGTAATGGGACTTCCCACCGTTAACAGACCTGCTCCTATTGGCCAGTGGGCATAGAGGAGTAGGCTGTGAGGCTTAAAGTTGCTTCTCCAAACCAGAGATTTGAGGCACTAGAAATCACTCAAAAGGAGAGACAAGGGACCAAAGCAAAACTGATCTGAGACAGAAACACATGTTATGTGTTTCAGTTTTGGGAGGGGTGGGGAAGAAAAGGAAGTTTGAAATGAGGCTGAGAAGCAGCTTGATTCCTTCTTGGGTGGACTTCTTGAAGCTTCTTCCAAGCCTGATTGTATCACTTCTGACTCCACATCCACGAATGTGGAGCTGCATGTCTGTGTGTTCTACCGATCAGACCGTAGGGACAGGTACTTCTCTCTGTGCCCTGGCTAATGAGGCTGGTCATCAAGGTATGTCTGCCTAGGGTTCCTTGAGCATTTTATTTTATCCTCTTTTATTTGATTTTCTACTTTACTTTGTACAATGTTTTAAAGTATAAAATTCTATTTACTGACAGACTTTCAAAAAATGTCCTCAGTGCTGTGTTAATACTTCTAGGCCCCAAGCGATAAGTTTAAACAAGTGATGCTTTTCTTGGTCTTAACACAGCTTCTGGAAAACATGACAGAAGTGGTTCGAAAAGGAATTCAGGAAGCTCAGGTTCAACTGCAGAAGGCCAATGAGGAGCGCCTTCTGGAAGAGGTGAGTCTGCAGAGCAGCTCAGGCTGGGAGCCATACTGGACAGGGTGATGTTGAACAATGTTGTGTTTTGCAGGGGGTGTTACGCCAGATCCCTGTCGTAGGGTCCGTGCTGAATTGGTTTTCTCCAGTCCAGCCTTTACAGAAGGGAAGAACTTTTAACCTAACAGCAGGTAGGACTCACAGCCTCCTCCCAGATTTCATGTACGTTGAGGGTTTTGACCAAATGCCCTGGGATCCCACACTCATTCTGAAAAGCCTTCTGTATGTCCCATGCTTTATCTTGGGTACCAAGTCAGGAATCTGTCTGCGCCTGTGACTTTCTCATCTTCCCTCTCCTGCCCCCACTGCTGAAATGGCATGGAAACAAGATACACATTGCCCACAGCAGACTTCCTGGAATCCAATGAGAACATGTTCACTCAGCTGTTCAGACCCTCAAGACTGGGCATTTTGCTTCAGTGTTAATATTGCAGCCCTCATTCGTGTTTTGCCCAGCAAAGGGCTGCCACTGAAAGGGACAATTGAAAGACTGGTCTATAGCACCGGCTGTTGAATTTCAAACTAGGCTACCAGCAAGAATTACCAATTGCTGGGGTTGGGGGAAGATAGTATCCAACTGTAGGACTCCTTTCCTGTTCTAGCAGGAGTCCCTTCTTCTGTCCCTTCCCCAGGAAATGACGGCTCCGCTGTCATATGACAACCAGGGATAATCTGACTTTGAGCCTACTGCACCTCAGCCTTTAGCAGAGGCATCCATTCCTTGTTGCTAAAGTACAGTTGCTGAAGCACTTGGAGGGGGAAGCTAGGGTCTCTCCCACGTGGGCCTGGTTCTCCAGGCATGCTTACACTAGCTACACTGCTGGCTGAGTGTTTTCACATGTACACAGGATACCTGGGGAGGCAAGAATGAAACATACCAGCAGGGTCAGGACTCATAAACTCAGCTATGAGATGGCTTTCTCCAGTTCCTGGCATGTTTCAGGGGTTCCTAAGTCTCCACCAGTCTGTGCAAGGCTGCATGGCCAGAGGAAGCTCACCAGAGAATAAGACTGAATGGGGGCATCTCCCAGGGCAGCCTGTGCCAGGATTTCTACCCACCCCTCTCTCTCTCTTTCCCTGACAGGCTCTCTGGAGTCCACAGAACACACTTACGTCTCCAAAGTACAAGGTACAGGAGTAACACCACCTCAGACCCCCTCAGGCACTCGCACTAAACAGAGACTTCCAGGTACATCTGCATGTTTGAGTTCATTAACACTAAAGAAAATGGGTTGTATTTCTCTTGGGAAAATAGACCTTTTTGCATCATGTAATGGTTTTGGTATTACCTGCATTCCTTTGTTTTCCTGGTTCTTTAACCCAAAGTCCTATTTATCTTCAATTAAGACCGGCTGTCCCTTTAAATAACCATTCCAGCAGCCTTGGGCTTTAGCCTTGAGGGAATACCTCTGCAGCATTCCCAAGGGGGAATTAGGGTCTCCAGAGCTGGCATCAAGTTTAACCTGGCATTTACTCTCTCCTGAGTTTTTCACTATTAAGGTGACCTCAAAAGTTCTCTGCCTTGGGAGCATGATAGTCTCCTATCAGCTTTTTTTGTTTTTTTTGCCTTGTCATTTAAATGCTTCAGAGCCAGTAATTCCGGGGATTTCTGCTGAACGGTTGGAATTAATAAAACGATTTCTTGTTGCACAGGGAGCTCTGTTGCAGAAGTGTCCTTTACAGCACTTCAGTGTTGTTCCTCCCATCTTTTTCTAGGCCAGAAGCCTTTTAAAAGGTCCCTAAGCGAGACAAGCTCAGTCAGTCACACTGAAGACTTAGAAAAAATGGAGCATCTGTCTGGTGGGCTGGAACAACAGGCCCTGGAGGCTAACAGCCCTGAGCAACACCCAGGGACTCCCACCCCTCAGGAAGCCAAGCAGACTGGAGCCGTCCAGAACATTGCCCAGGGCCCAGAAGATGACCCCCCACAGGTAGAAGAACCGGAAAGCTTAAGATAAAATTCAGTGTTTGGTTTGAGACTGTATTGAATATTTTGTCAAGAAAGATGAAGTTATACTGAAAATGTGAACTGTGCCACATGCTAATACAAGAGAAATTACTATTTGTGCTTAGCTGGGATTTTTGCACAAATATGTACCTGAAAACCAGGCTTTCTAGGAGGGTAATTGACTGGTCTAATTTTATGGGTATAGAGATCAGCTGTTATTTCTGTCTACCCAACTGGAGTAATACATTTTATCCCCAAGTTACTATAAACACTTTTTATTCACAAAGAACACTCGGAATGTCAAGTGCCTGCCACTTGAAACACCTGCTCTTACCTTTGTAAGCATAAGTTACTAGGTTGCACATTAGGAGTAACTTTTTGGTAAGACAGTTTTCTTTAGAACTCTGTGGGTTCTGTTGTACTGCTGCAGAGGACTGACAGCTTTTGCCACCTGTGTTAGTTGGTGTTTACTCTGATCAGGTTGCAGTATACAACTGGATCGTGTTGGCTTGAAGGAAAATGGGTTTGTTTCAATGGGATTGTAAATAAGAGTGTCGGAGAAGCCCTCTCCTGCCACCCCCAACTGCTGCTTTCCCTGGAGATGGAAGGACTGTGTCCACGCGAGTTGTGGCAGGCTGTCAAACAAGTTATACTGGGCAGTGCTTCTGTCTGGCCTTCCTCTGCCACGGATCCATTTCTCCCTTTATATACTATCTGTAAACAAATTAAAGGATTCATCTATTAGGAGTAACTGCAAAGACTTCTTGACCATATATATGTATATTTTTAAATACTGGTAAAGCTTTTAAATTGGCACAAAAGAACAGACTGTGCTCGTCTTTGTTTAACATCTGAAAACCCAATAGATGCTTCTCTTAAGAGCCTAATATTAAATATTGCTATGTAGCACCCAGTTAAATTTAAATTCTAAAATAAGTCTACCTGTTACTCGTTTCACATGGGAGCTTCCACAGCTTCTGTTCCACTAGCAGCTCACCCCTTTGGGCTCAACTTGTAAACAAGAACCTGAAAAGTAACCTTTGCCAGGCTCATCAAGTCAGACTCCTGCTAAGTAAGATAACTGAAGGTTAGCTCTTAATGACTGCCCACGTCCGCTCCTCCGGAAGCACAGCACCCCTGTATTTACCCTAGGTGACGGCCCTGTGCCTCTAGCCCAGCAGTCAGCCTGGAGAGACCTCCAGACCGTGGGAATCCACACTGGATTTGTGGACTGTAGTATTGGAAACCTTAGTTATATCACAGCAGACCTATAATTACACTCTGATTTAATGCGATTTCTGACATTTGGTACTTGTCAAAATGCAATTTTCCTTTCTTTTTATTTGGGGCGGGGGGTGCAGATGATCAAAGTCTTCCCTGTTTATTTGGTGCAATGAAATATAGCAGATAAAATGGGGGAAGGGAAAATTATCACCTTTAACAAGATTTTTAGATGTTTTTATATATATATTTGGAATTGTTAAATTGGTTTTGCTGAAACAGAATTTCACCCTTGAGATACTATTTCAACATTGGTTTCAATAAAGGTTCTTCAAATTGTTACCACTGAGTTCAGTTCATATTCATAAATCTTACTATTAATCAGGCATAGTGACTTCCTTTAGGATAACTTCAGAAAAATAAAGATTTCTTCAAGTAAAATTTGCATAAGAATCATAATTTGGGTGTTTAATGACCTTATACCTAAAAAAAGATTTATCAGTGGTTTCATGTAACACTCAAGATTAAATTTAGTCTCATGGGAAATTATTACTTCAAAACAGTGAGATCAAACCCTATTTGTCTTTCCAAACTTTTCATCTTACTCATCTAGAAGTGTATTTATATCAGTTTTGGATTTGATGCTTCTAAAATATTTTGGGGCCCCAAAATACCCTCTGTGAAATGTATAAATTCTCACTGAACTTTATTGCATTTTAAATATTGGTTTTAAAGCAAATTCAATTACAATTTTTTATTCACTAGTTTTATAGAATCAGAAATACTTACCTAAGTAGCTGAAATAGCTGTCATAGAATAGTGAGGCAGGCGGCTTCTCCTCTGCCCCTTATTACTAACCAAACAGGAAAAGCTGGAAACAAAAAGTAAACAAATGCCTTTGCCAAAATAAGATTTTATTTTGAAAGTCATCTGAAAGACACTAAGACTCAACGGATGTGGATTTCAAATTCATGTTCTGTCCAACCCCCACCAACAGTCTCTGTCATGCCGAAAGTTGCTTTCTTTGGTAATTCCTATTTTTAGCTCCCTGGAGAAGAGATCTTTTCCCATAAGCCATCTTCATTTTTTTTGTAGAGCAGAGCTTTATTTCCAGGAAAGAGTATGTTTGTTGGAGATGGGTATTTTTTTAAAAACACCAAGGTAGACCTAATATGCTCAACAAAGTGGGGGGGCTCCGCCAGAGGTGACGTGGAAAGATTCTGGAAGACAAGATTTGAGGCATGAGAAAATACCCTCACTCTGTTCCCTGCTCTGATAAAGATGTCAAATACAATATCCTTGTGTTCCTTAAACATTAATTAGGATGTTCTCAGACCACTATATAAATTGTAAAATTACCTAAGAACTGAGGTGTACAGGCTTAATGAGAAAAAAAGCAGTTGGCTGCTTACTGCTTTATCCATGCAAGTGTCTATCCAGGGCATCACTTATCCCCAACTGATAGAGAAGTGAGTGGGGCCTGTCAGTGGCCTCCTAAAAATAACTACTACCCAATGAAAGAAAAGCAGCTTTTAGTCTAAACCCTTTTTTCTTACAGATGAGGATGCCCAGGTCCAGAGCGTTAAGGTTTTTCCAACCTGTAAATTCTCACCTCTAGTATTTGCTTATCATCTTGCTGCAACCAGAAATCCACATGTGGAAATGGCATCCAGGAGTACGGTCCTATACGAAGTTGTTCTGTCTTTGCATCGTAAATACTAATCATCTGAAAAAGAACATTTCAAGGGCAGAATTTAAGGAATGCCATCAGCTTCTCAAACCCTACCATCAAAGCAGGCTCCAGCATAGTCTGGCAGTTAAGGCATTTATCTGAATGATAAAGCTTTACAATTTTGTCTCCTAATAACAAAAGCTGCTACTTACTACTTCCAGCTGTCTGGTAACTGCACTTTGTGGGTAACATGTATTATTTTGTTTAGTCTTGACAACAGTCCCACAAGGAGATGGCATTCTCCCCTTTCTGATTGAAAACCTGAGGCTCAGAGACAGGGCACAGAGCCAGCCACAGACACACTTCCAGTAAGCAGCAGAGCTGGGCCTCAAACCCAGGTGTGTCTGACTGAAGTCCACATTCCTTGTTGCTACATACAACACTACCTTGTTATTTATGCCCAAGCAGCTAAGTTACCTTGCAACTTTATACAATGCCTGTTGCCCCATCAAAAGAAAGGGAAAAACTATTTGTAAAAATGCTAATTTGCCAAACGATCAATTCTCTGAATTCTCAAATTTGTCAATGGTCATTCTCGGCTTAACCAGCAATGTTCAATTTTGGTTACTGAGACTGAAGTACGTTCTGAATACCATCTAAACCAAGGCTATTATGCCACTTGAGGAATTACAAAAGGAACCCTAAAAATGTTATAGGGTTGGCAAAATGGGTCACTCTGAACCTAAACATTATTTTCCAATGGAAATGTCAGCATTTCATAAATGAGCAGGTCTTTTTTTGGTGCTCTGAATGTAATTTCTCTTTTTTCACACTCGATGCATTTTTTTTTAATTATTTTATTTTTTAAGATTTAATTAATTTATTTTTAGAGCGGGAAGGGAGGGAGAGAGAGAGAGAGAGAGAAAAACATCAATGTGCAGTTGCTGGGGGTCATGGCCTGCAACCCAGGCATGTGCCCTGACTGGGAATCGAACCTGCGACACTTTGGTTCGCAGCCCGTGCCCAATCCACTGAGCTACGCAAGCCAGGGCCTCGATGCATTTTTTAAAGGACTTTTTTCACCCATTCCTCAAATGGCATATCAATCTTAGGTTTTTAGTTTTCTTTTAAAATTAAAATGTTATTTAATTAAAAAACATGCTGAGGCAATTAGACTTTTAAGTTGATTTGATCCGTCTTTTGATCAGTTTGTTCCAGCAGGTCACTCTTGAGTGACTTGGTCCAAAGGAGTGTATGATCCAAGGTGAAGAGGGGAGAAACCTCTCCTTCCCCCTTCCTGGCTCTTCCTTTGTAGGTAGTTCTTAGAATATAAAGGGAGTTCGTTCTGTCTGGATTGGATGCTGGGGGTTCACATGACCTCCCTCTACATGTCGAAGACAGAGAAGTGGGGTCTTGACCTTATAACCTAAAAGTATTCAATGTGTGTGTGTTTTGTGGGGGAGGGACGTGATTAACCTGCAGCTTTCAAGAAGCTGATGTGAAGTTTTCATTTCTAAGGTCTATAAGGCTTTGCTGCCCATTTTTTCTTTAACCCCTGACACGAAGATAATTCCAGACTCACTGGTCCTCCTGTTAAAGCTCGTGCAGCACGCAGCTCCTCCTCGGGACCGCGATCTTGGAAGGAGGCTCTGTAAATCTCTGCAGTTTTAATATTGACAGCTGTGAGGGACAACAGAATGACACTGAGTTGGTAAAAGACAAACATGATAAGTTTGCACAGGCCTACAGTTCTCCCACTGAACATAACAGAATATGGATAAGTCTCTTTCAAAAAGAGCAGAGAATGGATATTAAACAAAATTACTTTTAGCCAGGCATCTCACTCACATGGGGCCTAAGCTGAAACTAGGTTCGGTAAGACTGTTCCAGGGCAAGAGCCGGTGCCCCATGGGGAAGGCACTGCATCTCTTCAGGCAGGTATGTGGCAAGGCCTCCCTGGCCAGCCCTGTGACCAAATGTGTCTGCAGGTGGCTGGGGGTGATCACAGCCAACTTTTTGTTTGTTTTCTAATTTTTCCTACCCATTTTAGACATACAAAGTTATAAAATAATGCACATCTGTATACCCACTACCCAGCTAAATACATAAAATATTACAGATATGCTAGAAGCTCTCTGCAAATAACAGCCAATTTCATCCTATTATGTCCTTAAAAGTCTTATTAGGGGCCGTCACAGGAGTGGAAGTTTCTGGATTTTCCCTCATCTGATAGTTATACTTTCCTTTGTAGGATCTTTGTTCTCAACCAAAATTTTACTTGGTTCCCTACATGTAAGGACATTACCAGGCCCACTCTGGCCCCTGAAGCCCTGGCCGGAGAAAAGCACAGCTGGCTCCCTCAGGTGAGCGCAGTGCCACCAACAGTCCCCTTACTGGGGGCCCTGTCCGTGCTATGTAAAGCTGTCTGGCTTTCTCCCCCCGGGCTTCAGATGTGGACCCTTTCTCCCTTCTGTAGATAATGCTTAGAGAATGTAAGCTGCTTACCCAGGGTCCCCCCAAACAGGAACCTAAGCCTGTGACATACTGACATCAGGGGGCTCACTAGTTCACAGAATCGGCCTCTGACTGGAACCTGCCTCGTCAACGGGTGGCCAGCCTCCAACCCTCAAGTAAATACACTACTTACCAATGCCATAAATTATTGGAAAGTGGTTTTCATTTTCTTCTCGGTCGTTTAATTCTAACAAATAAAAACAATTTTTTTAAGATCCAATTTTTAAGAAACACTGAACAATTGCTTTCATTTTATAATAGAGGCCAAGAAGGAACCCCCACTGCAAAAGGGGGAAAACAGACAATGAAAGGGTCAGAAGTCCTGCTTCCTTGATGAGGCCCAGAGCACTCAGGTTCATACGGAACAAAATGCCACTTGCAGAGTTAGCACCGCCCAACAGTCCACACGCTCTGCTGTCTGCCACACAAGGCAACAGCTCCTGCCTGGGGGTGGGTGGTCCCTTCTCCTGCCCAGGAGTACAGAGGCGGCTACTGAAAATCCCAAGGAAAGAAAGATGAATTGCACTAAAGGGCGTCAGCATCTCAACTGAGGCTGAGTAGGACCTGAACATTGGGAAGAAGGGGAAGGCCATTCCAGCAGATGGAAAAAGCCAGAACAAATGAAATCCACAGCTTTGTTTTGGGAAAGACGGCAGAACCTACCTGTCACACATAATGTCACTAAGTGAATGTCATCTTCTTGTCTGTCGAATTCACCTACAATCAGAATTTTAAAAACCGGCTATCAGAAAAATTCCTTTAATTAGCAGAACGTATCCCAAGCAAGTCAAGAAGGGGACGGAAGGACGGAAGCCAGATGAGCCACCTCTGTTCCACCACCCTTTCAGCTACAACCTGGCCTGCCTATCAGAGGCCAGGTTGGTGTGATGACCGGACAGCACAGACCCCTTTACGCCCAGTGACAGCCGTGCTCCCAGCCTCTGACCCAAAGGTGACTATGACCCCGGCTTTCCACTCCTCTCCATTCTGAGAGGTTTGGGGAGTAAACTGACTCAAGATTTTTACTCTTCTTTTCCTAAGTAACTTTTTTTTTCTGATTCTCAAAAAATCTGATCGCTGCAAAAATTTGGAAAATACAGGAGATTAGGCCCTGGCTGGCAAAGCTCAGTGGACTGAGCATGGGCTTGGGAACCAAAGTGTCGCAGGTTTGATTCCCAGCCAGGGTACATTCTTGGGTTGCAGGCCATAACCCCCAGCAACCGCACATTGATGTTTCTCTCTATCTCCCTCCCTTCCCTCTCCAAAAATAAATAAGTAAAATCTTAAAAAAAAAAAAGAATATGAAGTGAATATAAAAAAAAAGAAAAAGAAAATACAGGAGATTATAAGGGGTAATAGGTTTTTAGTGGTAGAAGTATATGGGCTTTTAATGCCCAAGATCCCAGTTAGTATGCTGTGCATTCCATACATTTCTATGCACAGCTAAGCTCACACCATGCAATTTTCTATCCCAGTTTTTTGTACATAAGTATGTATTTTCCCGTGGAATTCAAACTTCTTCATAACTAGCATTTCTTAACAGCTACATAATTATTATTCTAATGAATGTTAGATTATTTCCTGCTGTACATGTTCTGCTGCCTGTCTTTGGGCACAAATTCTGTGCACGTTTCAGATTATTGTGTTACATTCCCAGAAGGGGAATTACTGGATCAAAGGATGTGAACCTTTCTAAGACTTCACCGTGATGCCAAATTGCTTTCCCAACAGTTTATACCAATGTATGTTCTGGTACTGTGTGACTATGTTACCTCACTGCCTCATGGTTAATTAACATAGAACAATGTGTTTCTTAAAAATACTTGCTCACAGCCCTAGCTGGCGTAGCTCAGTGGATTGAGTGCGAGCTGCGAACCAAAGTGTGGCAGGTTTGATTCCCAGTCAGGGTACATGCCTGGGTTGCAGGCCATGGCCCCAGCAACCACACATTGATGTTTCTCTCTCTCTTTCTCCTTCCCTTCCCTCTCTAAAAATAAATAAAATCTTAAAAAAAAAAAAAAAAACGCTTACTCAGTAGGGAAAAAATGGTATGATTAGTGTTTTCATTTTCTTCAGACTAGAATGGCCATGTCTGCCTGGAGGGAGGTTCTGTTTTTCCATAATTCTTGTCCCCATCCAGCTAGCCCCTAAAAACTCAGCTCTCTGCTGCTCAGTCTTTATGAAGATTCCAAGCTGAGCAGTTTATGTCACTCCAGGAAGGTGTGCTCCTCTTCAATTGTGTCCTCACTGGACTTATTCAAGCAAAAATGGGTAAAAATTTTGTCAAATTTGGGGAAAAAAACAGTGCACTTACTAAGAAGCTGATGAGTAAGTTTTTGTGACAACTGCCTTTCATCACTGAAGCCGCCCACGAGGTGCACTTCCAGCCTGGCAAAGAGATGGGACGGTGGTCAGAGGCCAGCACGATGCAGCGTCACTGTGCAATGGTTCTGCTTCGAACGGTGGTTCTCAGCTTCTGTAACCCTCACTCTACAGCAGCGCTCCTGGCCCTTGTTCGTACTGTGACACACACACAGGAGACCTGTGTGGCTCCCTGGAGTAAATGGTGAGGCTGCCAAGGCCAGGAAAGCTTCTGGAGACCCTGTCCAGGAACCCCAATGGCTAAGTGGATTTATATCAGCACAAATATGATGCCGCCTTGAGGCAGCAAGTAAGGAACTTTGCTCTGGAAGATTATGACTCTATCACACTTATTTACCCACCCAAAGCAGGATACCTCCTAAAGCATCTTCAATGCCCTCGCCTAAGAGGAACGGGGGTGGAGGAGTGGGAAGGGAAGACAGCTTATGCTGACTATGCCTTTGCTGTGCAGGGACTGAAGTGGACCTTCCACAGAGCTCTCCCCCCAGTGCCCACCTCTCCTGGAGAGAGGAATGATCATGTCCACCCCACAGAGAAGGAAACTGGGTCTCTGTCTAAAGCACAAGCTTATTATCTACCATGTCCCTCTGAAAGTTAGCCACATGAGACAGAACACAGTGTTCTTGCAGTTAATTACATTTGGGAAATCTTGCCTACTGTAACCCCTCCCCAGGAGTCACAACACACATTAGCAAAGAAAAACCCTAAGAAGTCCAACAGTTGACAAAACCAAACTAACTTTGTTTATCCCTGTGTTTCCCATGCTAACTTGTCTACTAACCACCTGTCCACAGCCTCTTACAACCCGGGGACTAGTGCTTTTGGAAAGTGCAGCTCTATTTCACACAGCCGTGAGGAATGACTGGAATCCCTAAGCAAGCAAGCACGGGGTGAAGCATCAAGTGGCCTCATAACAGACACCTATAGGGAGAGGAGCCGTCATCACCGTGGCTTTGCTCAACATGGGGCTACAGGTTTGCCTTCTGAATCGTGGTTGCAGCAAACCTTCCCGAGTGACCACGGCAGTTCCATGAACAGAACAGGGATAGCTCACAAGCGTATTCCGAGAATCACTGACTCGGGCCTGTGGCCAGGCCCCACTATGTAATCAGTGGGGCCCATTGCAAAATGAAAAGGCCGTTCAGCAACTGCCCAGGTCGCATGCCTGTGAAGCTGGCCCAGCTTGTGTCACCAACACAGGCAGAAGTAGAATCAAATTTAAAAATTGATTTGTGTTGTACTAGTAAAACTCTGAGAGGCTTAAAAAAAACCCCTGGGATTCTAAGAACTTGTACATTAATGAACTAGTTCATTCAATGGCTACCTTAGATTTCAAATAAAGAGCAAAGCCTACAAAGTCTGCCTAATGAAAGAGAAAAGAGGGGGTACAGGGGTGTGAGCACAGGGCAGACCTGTGTCATGGCCTACCACTAACTAGCTGTGTGAGTCCAGCTCAGCTGAGTCCCAGTGTCAGCAGCTGAAGGGAAGGTGGTGACACTTCCTGTAACCAGGGAGAGGGCTGGATGCTGTGATGCATGGCCAGGCCGGACATCAGCTCTTGTAAAGAATCCACGATGAAACCTCTGAAGTACTGGCACTTAAAACTGTATCCCCAGCCTGTCAGCCATCCCCTATCTTTCCTGACTTGTTTTTGTCCATGGTCCTGTCCACCATTTAATATTCTACTTTGCTTACTGAATGGCTCCTTGCCTTACAAGATGAACACCATGGAGGCAAGCTTGGTCTACTCTGTCCACTGCTATGTCCTTGGCACCTGTCATAAGTTCTTGTTCATAGGAGGCTTTCAATAAATAATTGCTGAAGGGATAAAGGAAGAGATACTACATCTGGGGAATAACAAAAGCAACATCTGACATGAACATCTAAAAATGTATTACTGAAAGTAAAACTACAGGTGCAAGGTCACACCTTTCATTTACACTCCAGCACTGCTTCTCTGCCTGTACCCATTGCCCATTCATTCACTCGACAACTACTGGCAAGAGGCCGTGCTGGGCCAAGCTCTGCTCCAAGGGAACAAGACAGACATGTGACAGTGACATTCTGTGTTTCTGTAACAGCTTCCATGACTATTTCCTCTACACACGGGTGCAAAGTTCCTGATATCACAAAATAGAGTAGTGTAAAACTCACCTTCCATATTCAGTGTGGTTGGAAAAGGATTTTATGGAGTTCATGATCAAGGGGACCTCAGCCTTGGTGTCGGTTCCATCACAGTGTGTCAAGCAGGTAGCCCCATTACCTGAAGAACAAAGGGTGAAAGGACTCATGTTATTCCCGATAAGAACTCAGTAGGCAGGTCGGGCCTACTCCTGTCCATTCAGACCGCCTCATCTTTGAACATCCTGTAAGAAAAAGCAGAAACTGTGCTGCCCAGACAACCCGTTCTGACCGGGGCGACAGGGAGACACCATGCAGACCAGAACGGTAAGCGGGGTCAGGTCTCAGAGAGGACACCAAGACACTCCAATCAAGAAATGAATGGTCCCAAATGTTGGGTCACTTTAAGTAATGATTTCCTTTCATCTCTCTTGCCATACCTGTGTGCCTCAGGACCACAATGTGACAAGTGGTGGCATCATCAGAACCCAGAATGGAGATGGAGCCTGTTTAAAAAAGAAATAACATAAAATATCCAATAGCCTTTTGGGATAATGCCCAATTCACTGCTTCCTAACCTACCATCCTTTGGGGAGGTCACTGCAAGCTCTCTTTGCTGAACATACAGAAGGCCCTGGGGTCCCACTTGTTGAACAGACTGACCTCTGAGAAGTCTGGCTCTTTCCTGTTTAATTAAAAAAAAAAAATAAAATAGTGATGGAAATTAGTGAGAATTGAGTGACTAGAGAGGTGGAGAGAGCCACAGTGTGCCCTAAGTGGGAAACACGCACTTGCAGGGCGGAGGTGTGTGTATTATTTGACAGAAAGGCTAAAATAAAAAGGTAGCGCTAACTATCATGTGGAACAATGCAAAAAAAATGAAGTTCTGTTCTTTTTTAACCTATAAAACAAGATATTAGTGCCTGTGGAATAAGATGCAAAAAATCTTTTTTCATAGTTTTTTTACTAAAGAATATGAGACTCCTCACGGTTTTACGATTGTAAAGAGATTCAGATTATATGTGAATCTCTAGTGGATCAGAGGCTCTGAAACCACATTCCTCCTTTACTTTCTTTACAGAGGTAGAAGGGTTAGACTTCCCTACCCCTAATCTGGTGCTCCCATTTTGTAAATCTGTAGTGAGGAAATAATCCAAAATCCTTGCATTATTTAGGACTGCAAAAAGCTGAGAGTAGCAACAGGACAGGTAAGTAAATTGTGCAGAACCAACTCACAACTACTAACTGCACTGTCAGGAAAAAGGAAGATTATAGGAAACTAGTTTTGAAATAATACACTTAAAAGCAAGATATAAAAGTGTAAAAAATTTAAAGCTACAAATATGCTGTTAACACTACCATGCTAAAATGTTGCTACACCTAGAAAAAAATACTAGAAGGAAATTCACCAATATGAGACTGGTTATGTTAGAACAGGGCAAACAAGTAATTTAACTGGGGTCTTTTCTCTAGTCTTTAAATCTTACATGATGTAGTTACATTATTATTAAAGTAGAAGACCAAAAAGGAGCAAATCTGTGAAAAGGATATATAAATATTAGGCGTCAACATTTTGTTTAATTAAATATTTGTATAAATTCTTAGGCAATAAACCTGGGAAAAAATTCAGGTGGCTAAATTTTTTAATGAAAACTGAATTACACATTTTTTTTCAAAAATGTTAAATTGATACAACCCTAAATATCATAATCTCCTTACTGCAGTAAATAAACTAAATGAACAAACTCTTATCCAGATGTGTAACACAGAGCACCCATGTGTTGTCTGGAGAATGGCTTTATAGCCTTGAACAGGCTTCTCGCCATAGCTCATGGTTGGTGTACATTTACGTTACTTACTAAAATAGATATTAGAACAGCATAATGACCAACTTGTGAGTTATACAGTGTTTTAATGAACCTCCATTAATTGGAAGCAAAGCAGCAATCAAAATGAGACCAGCCCTTGATTTAAGAAAGGAACTGAGAATTAAGTGAGCTGCAGTGAAGAACTAGATTGGCCTGCAAGCTCTGCCTGCTGTGGAAGTCCATGAGAGAGAAATGTGGCTGATGGTTGATAGAAGAACACTTCTCATTTTCATATCACTTTCCACCTCACCTCAGTTCAAAATAACAAAGGAGAATTCAGAATTTCCTTTGTATCATTCCTTTAATACATACCTTTGCTTTGTTCTTTTGGGAAGAGGGGCAGGGAGGGAGTAAAGGCGAATTTTTACCACTCATTTTCACAGCTGGGCCACCACCCAAAAACAAAGCTACTTGTGAGAAATGATTATCACTTTCATACCCAACACCAAAAATCAGTCTTTTTTGACACAGCTTCTACTATCTCCCCCCAACCCCTCACAAAAGATGAATGGATTATTAGGAGAGAATGTCACAAGGCAAAAATGGTAGGTTGCATCAGTCTTCCACTTTAAGAAATAAAGTTTAGCCAAAGTTCTCTGTGGGAAAACCCACAGCCAGCCCTACCTTATAAACTCACATCCTTTCTGAAATAAAAATAGCCCCAGCTTTCTCAACTTTTGATATCTCTGGACACTAAAATTCACTGAAAAAAAAAATCTCTTTTCCATTGGTTTTTCTATGCTACCCCTCACCCTCATTTCCCAATTCCTATTCAATGGCACTTTTCTCTTAACCCAAGGTCAGCAAACCTTGGGTTTGCTGAAAAAGTAAATATTAGGAGCTTTGCAGACTGTGCAAGGCAGCATGAAAGAAGTAGCACTGCCCACACATAAATAAATGTCTCTGGCTGTGTCCCCAAAAACTTTGTGGGAGACAACACAATCTGAATTTCATATAATTTCACAAGTCACAAAATATTATTCTTTAGATTTTTCTCCCACCATTTAAAAATGTAAAAACCATTCTGGGCTCCCAAGCTATCCACAAACAGGACTGGGCCTGTGGCTGTAGTTTGCTCCCCACTCTGTTAGCCAATCACCTGGCTGTACCTTCAAGGAGGATCACAGACCCCTCACCCCTGCTGCTCTGTTCTGTCAATTCTTCCTTCAAACACAGGAGAGCAGGTATAAAACTGTTTTGTGAACTGCAAAGCATGGTGCTGAGTAAGAAATTATTATTAACAGGTACAGCTCTCAAAACAGCCTTCTTTCCCACTTGTGCTACCTTAATTCAGTCCTTCATGATCTCATCTAAATTCCTGCCACAGAATTTACAAGCAGAAGACAGAGAGCAAGACAATGCTAGCCTTGGAGTGCCCTGCCTTTCACCGAGTGACTCCGGGCATGCTCCTGACCCTCTGTGCTTCCATCTCCTCCTCTGGGAAATGGGATGGTGCTGGCCACTCCCTAGGTTGTGTGAGGATTAACTGAGAGCATACTGGTTGGGGGTGACTGCCACCACTCCTCAGCCATTTCTTTGACCTCCGAGGTCTCCCTTGCCCACGCTATCCTCCTCGATGGCTGCCAGCATCACCGCTTCAAAACACAGATTCTGTTACATAACTTTTCCGCTCAAAAACCTTTCTGAGCCCAGCAACTTCATTTGTAGGAATAATTATGGGGTTTATAAATATTTCACTCTGTGAATGTTTGTAATAGTAAAAGATTGTAAGTATTTTACACGGTTAAAAGTAAAAACAGCTCTAACCAGTGTGGCTTGGTTGGGCATTGTCTGCAAAGCGAAATCTCGCCAGTGTGAGTCCCTGTCAGGGACCATGCCTGGGTTTCGGGGTTCTCCCCCAGTTGGGGCACACATGAGAGGCAACAGATCACTGTTTCTCTCTCACATCAATGTTTCTCTCCCTCTCCCTGAAAATAAATACATCTTTTTTGAAGAAAAGAGTAGGAACGAAGTTACTTTGCATTCACATGTAGAATTCTATGGAACCATTAAACAAGACGTTGCAGGACTGGTTAATGGGCATCCGGTGGCTGGTGAAGAGCAGACTTTCAATAGCACCACCCGAAGGAACTTTCTGCAGTGATGGCAACAATCTGCATCTATGCTGTCTCATACAGCAGCCACGCACAGCTGTTGAGCACTTGAAATGTGGTTAGTTCAACTGAGGAACTGATTTTTAAAATGTATTTAATATTAATGAATTTAAATGTAAACAGCCACACATGGCTGGTGGCAACCATACTGAGCAGTGAAGCTAGAGACTGCCAGGGCTACAGCACTTCCAGGATGTGGGGCCGTGGGCGACTCCCCAGAGGCCTCCGTGCCTCACAGTCATCGCCTGTAAAATGGGAAGAGCGGTGGCACCTACTTCACAGACAGCGGTGTTCTGCAAGGTCTACTGCGTTACTATTATTACTATTGCTACTTTATGCTAGGCTTAGCCAGGCACAAGCTTGTAACTGCATACTTACAACGTATTATTACATGAAGAAGACATCATAAAATATATAGTATACTCTCATTTTTTAAAGGGTATCACATACAAAGAGAAACCTCTGAAAGGATTTTTACCAAAATATGAACAGTAGTTGTGTCAAAGATTATTTTTTCTTTTTGACATTTTTTTAAATAAAGAGGACATACTACTTATTATAGAAAAATAGTTAAACCTTTTACTTCCCCCCACTGCTTATCAGTTGAAAGATCCATCCAAACTCCTCTAATCCAAGTAAGACCTACCTCTCTGGCTTATCAGCACTCTTCCCCTTCTTCCCCTCCCCGTGCCAAGGAAACTGGCTAGATCGCCTGCCCTCGGGACCCTTCCCCTTCGGCCTATTGGAGCAGTTTAGCTGGCTCAGCTAGAAAGCTCTCCCCTTTCTTCCCCTTTCAAATCTCTCAAGCCTCTACCCTCCTTCCCTAAAACGGCTGCAAATGAAAGTGACCTTCCCTCCTCCACCTTTCTTTAATGTGAATTGGTCCCCACTCCACAGCCTTTCTAGGCCACGTCTGTCTAAACAGACCTAACTCCTTCAAGAGGGGCCAGCCGCGCCATGATATATCCCCACACCCCCTCTCTCTACACTTAGGGGGCTGCCTTGAACATTGGTCTTTTTCTAAATTTCTGTCGCAGAAATTTTCAAACAGACATAAAAATAGAGTGTCACCCAGTTTTTTCAGCAGCTCACATCTTTTTCCCTTGGTAAGTCCTACTGCTGACTTCACTAGTTAACAGTGTGGCAGTGACACAGTACAAGGAAAGTGCTTACTTAGCACAATGCCTAGTGTCTGCTAAGTACTCAGAATGTGTCGGCAACTATTACTAATGTTTTCTAAAAAGGCAAAGTTGAGACTCACTGGGCTGTCCCCTTTTTCAGGTCAGTAACACCTCTTAGCCCTTGGGATCATTTTGTTCACTCATTTCTGGAACAAAATTTACAGAATGCAGATTCATTTCCAGGCTCATCTTCCATTGTCCTATGGTCTGAGGATACAAGGCAAAGACTCTATCTGCCTTCAAGAAGCTTACATTCTGAGGAACAAATCAAGGGAGAATAAATAAAACTAGCGTGCAGGCAAAATAATTACAATCTATGCAACTGTTGGAGGGAAAACTTCAGGAATACCTCCCCTAAGTCTACAGACCAGATCAAGTTTCTGCACTTCACATCTCAAAGTGAAAGAGGCATTATTGCTTTATGGCACTTAACAGTTTATGGTATTTGAATGAGTCTGTGATTAAAACCACGTCCCACCACCCCCCCACACCCACCCCTTGTCAAATAGATTGTATAAGCCCTGATTGTAGGGATAGAGGCCAACACAGGACAGTGCCCAACATATTTTGGGGGCTCAATAAGTATCACTAAAATCAATGAACTGATTCCCCCTTAACTGGAAATGGGGCAAGTGAAGGTTTGGTCCCCCATTTCTTTTCCTTAAGTAAAAACCCCTTTCCAAACCGTTTCTGCATAAGCATGGACTGAGGGTTCTGAGATCTATTGAGCACAAAAGCAGGAAAACAAAACAAAACCCTGCCGTCTAGGCGTGGCCCTCAACTCGGCCCAGCTGTGGAAAAGCAGGGCCCTTTCTTCAGGCTAAAAATAACCGGAGCCCTATGCCACGGAGGAGGGAGGCAAAGAGTAGGGAACCCGCCAAGATACCCCTGCCCAACTGCTGTCCCAAGCCCAACCCGGAATAACCTCCTGCTTCCTGAGAACCCCCAAACAGTGCAGCGTTCACAGGGGGTGGGGATCCCCTCAAGCGCTTGTGAGCAAGGGCGGTTGCCCAGATTTGCCCAAAGGGGCCAAGTCCGGATTGAGGGTTGGGACTGCCCTGTTTGGGAACAGGGGGTCCTGGGGTGCCCTCAAGCCGCAGTGCTGTGCGACACTGGGCAGGTCACCTAACCTCTCTGGGCCCCGCCCTTCCTCTAGAAAAAAGGAGCCTCAGCAGATGCCCTCTAAGGTCCAAAGAAGGTAAAAGCTCCACAGATGCCTCCAGCGAAGGCATAAAGTTGACTGCCAGCGGCCGGGGCTCCGGATGTGCCGCCAGCACCACAGCTGCGCCAAGTTTGAAGTCCGTTTCGGGGAGGAGCGGGTGGTCACGGTGGGGTGTGGAGGGCTCGGGCCGCTTCGAAGCCCCCCGCCCGGGCCCTGCTCACCTCCAGAAGCGGGTGGGCGCGGACGAGGTCCCCCGCAGACTGCGGCAGCCGCACTCGCCGCCCCTCAACCAGCAGCGGCATCGCGGAGGCGGCCACTCCGGCAGGCCCAGGGAGGCGGTGGCCTCCCCAGCCGCCGGTTGCCCGCGGCCCTGCCCCCAGGTCGCCCCACCACGCCCCGCCACGCCCCGTCGCTAGCGCCGACGGGAAGTGGAGTCAAAGGAGACGGCGCAGCCCCTAGGTTGAGAAAACCCGGGGCGGGGCCGCAAGGCCCCATGGGCAGTGTAGTCTAAACTCGAGGGAGGACTGCTGCCAGCCTCCTCCGCAAAGGGTGCTGGGAAATGTGGTCCTGAAGGCGTGGAAGTGAAGGTAGGGTAGTGGCGCTTTACTCGAGACCCTTTACCTAGAGCCATACGTTAGTTCCCAAATCTGGTAACATGGCTACACTGAGGAGTGTGGGGGCTGACTGCCTATTCATAGCACAGCTCTACCCGCATCTCATGGTAACCTTGAGTAAGTCCGAGATGGGAAACTGTGGTGCACCACAGGATTGTATTCAGTGAGTAAACGCACACTTTTATGATTTTACTTACTTACTTTTAGATGGGGGGAGAGGGAAAGGGAAACATCCATCAGTTGCCTCTCCTGCACTCTCAAGGACCTGGCCTTCAACCCAGGCATGTGCCCCGACTGGGAATCTAACCAGCGACCTTTTGATTTGCAGGCCCAATCGCAGAGGCCACCCCAGCCAGGGCCACATCAGTCTTAAACTGGGAAAATAAGAGCCTGAACTTTGCTAGCTCCACATTTAGAAATCATCAATCACACCTGGCACTCGGCATCCACTTGGCACTCATAGGTGGGAGTAAAGATCAGCAAGATAACATACCAGTCCCTACTCAGCACCCTGGTAATAGGCTGGGGTTCTCTATTCTAAAACTTGGAAATAACCACTCAAGTAGATCCAACTCCACAATACATTAACAGAAAGTAATTTGAAAGAAAAGGTGGTGAGGTGAAAGAGAAGCCATCTCATACAGAAAAAAAACTATTCAAATGTAATCATCTATATTCCACTTGCTCGTTTTTTTTAGGAATACTTCCTAGGACAAAAGTTAGCAATGCCTGGCAGGGGGAGCACTCTGGCCCCTCCCCTTCAGTTTAGTTATCTTAAATTGGAACCAACAAGTAACATGGGTGAAATGAGTTATCTTTGTCTGGAAAAGATTTTTCCGTGGAAGTGCTTCCTGTTTTAGGCTTCCTCACAAGGTAGCCAAACAGCTATTAACTGACTTTATATGCATTTCCACTGAATCTTCACAACTTACAGTAGTTACATTATTTTCACTTTGCAGCTCAACGAAATTAAGAGCTTTGAAGAGCGTTAAATCACTCGCATGGTTAGAGAGAAGCCACTTATTAAGGAAGACCCAGAAGATCCGATCATAATGGACACACAAGGGGATGGACCCTGATTCTCCTTCACCAATTGAAAGTCTGCTTTTCAGTAAGAGAAAAAGAAAATCCGTTATTTTCATATGAAGAAGCTTCACAATTATTTTCCCCCCAAGATGTTCCTTCAAAGCACGTGAAGTTTTTGAAGAAATGTTCGTCTTCCTTGGACCGGTTCAAGCCTCACTCAGCTGGTTGTGATCAAAGGGAGTCACTGACACTTCAGATTCACCTGGAAGTCAGTCTCATCATCAAAATCCAGTTTGTTTTTCAGCATTCCAAATCACACTAAATCACAGTGGCAATATTTTTACCTTTTTAATAGTAAAATCTCAGTTGCAGTTTTCCATTGTTTTAATACATAGATCAGTAAAGAAAAAAAATCAATCAAAAGAATATTTGTGTGTGAAGCCTCTTCCTTTATTGACCTAACAATAGTTCCAGATTAACCATGTCACTGTTTTATTGTCACAATGGGTTTTTTTCTCAAGCTCCCTTGAAATTAAACAGACTTATTTATAAACATGTCCCTCTACATTCAAGTTACTTCCCAACCCACAAAGACCCCATTTACCATTCATTTCTATGGACACATTTCATTTACTCATTTTATCCAGTATAGAAAAATCCCACCTTGTCAGCAGTTAAAAAACAGAGAACCTAAACGTCCTCAAATGACTTTCCACAAAGTCACCAAAAGAAAATCACCAATATTCAAAACTTTTTAAAGCAATAAACTCATCTTTTCCAAAAACGTATTTATAGACTGAAATTCAAACTCTACATTGCCTTCAATACAATTATACAAGAGCATACAAAGCCCTAGGAAAGTATTTCATTACAAAATATTTCTCATCAAGAAAATATTACTTGCCCTTAAATAAAATACAGGAAAACGGGCAGAAAATAAATATGTTTAAAGATGTCCATTCTCACAAAAAAGTAACAAAAAAAGTATACAAATAAATGAAGCCAAAATATGCACGAACTTCAAAATGACTCTAGCAATGCCTGCACAAATTTGTTATAAAGCAAGGTTTAGACACCGCTCTCTGTGTTTAGTTATAAAAATACAAAAAGAACCTGGACAGAGGGTTTCACTGAGCTGAACCCATGATACAAATAGCCAGTGGACAAAGAATGTAGATGTAACCTTGGCTTTTGTTGCTAGCAAAACCATCCCACCAAATAACCTAAACTGTACCCTATACTCCCAAGGAAATTTTCAAGATGAAAACTGGTCTACTGATTCTGGTAAAAATTAAAAAAAAAAAAAAGGTAATATTCCACTACACACAAGTAGTTTCAGTTCTAACAGCATTCTTGGGAGTTTCAGGGTAAAATGCTCTGTGCTTGTGTTTTGTAAAAGTCCAACCCCACTTTCAGTCAATGGGAATTACTTTTACCTGAACTCCATTTTTCTTTTAAATCCATTTTAACACTCACCAGCATATGATCTGTTTCCCTAAATCCTCTCTCTCTTCCCTACAGGCCCTTCATGGTCTCTGACGTGCTTGGAGAGCTCCAACTTTCAGCACCTGGGAGACCAGCTCTGCCCATCTCCCCACTTTCCTCCTGTGTCTCTGCACCCCACTAAATCCCAGCACACAAATACAGTTACAGCACAGGGTAAACAATGTACCCAAAATACACTCATTCTAAAAACTTTAATAGTGTCCTAGAGGATTTTCACTCATTTGGCAAAGTCCTGTACTTGTGGCTGTGACCAAAACCTACGTTAAAATAAAGAACCAATCTGTTAAAACAGGTTGTTGCCGATATTACAAATTTCACAATAATTATGTCAAAAAGCTGTAACACATAAATAATGTATACATTAAACAAGCTAAGCCTTCAATGTTTATCATCAACTCTATTGTAAAATATTGCACATGATATTCAGTCTTTTCCTTTTGTCTGTACGGGAGCAAAAAGAAACACATGTCTGTTCAGACACTATAGTGAGTCTAACATGAAAGTAAGCTGCCTGAGACAGCTCCTCCCTCTTGTTTGATGTGAAGTTCAAACAGTGTGCAACCTGGTACTGAAGGGCAGGATGGGGAGGAATGTTTGTCTCAATCACAAATCCTTGCCACCAGAGGCAAATGGTCTGGCAAGTCCAACACTGGCGGGGAGCCCACACTACTTGAAGGACTTCGGAAATGCGTGTCAAAGGAGCTTGGTGTGATCCCAACTTCTCCTTTCAAAAAGTCATCATCTTCATCTTCCACCACCTCCTGTCAGAAGAACAGAGATTATCAATAAGATTACAAGTGGTCATTTGAAAAGCTTCCAAGAATTCCTTTCCTTAGGAATGTGCTATTTCTGGGAAAGTAAAGAAAATATTCAAATTTCAAAAGCCTCCTCTGATGCACACAAAATTGCTCATCATACGCTGTCACTATTTGTTTAAAGTCTGATTTTTTTTTGGTTTTGGCTGGTGTGGCGCAGTAGATTGAGTACCAGCCTATGAAACAAAGGGTCACCTGTTCGATTCCCAGTCAGAGCATGTGCTTGGGTTGCAGGCCAGGTCCCCAGAGCGGGGGGCAGGCGGGAGGCAACCTCATATTGATGTTTCTCTTCTCTTTCTTCCTCCCCCTCTGTCTAAAAATAAATAAAATCTTTAAAAAATAAATAAAAATAAAGTCTGATTTTTAAAATACAAAGAAAAATAAAATGAGCTTTCCAATGGTTACTTATGAAAAAGTAGACAGGCACATAAGGCTCACTTTTAATGTGGAAAAAAACATGACTAACACAAAGTAACAAACAGTGACACTACTTATTACTGAATTCTAATTTTCTCCTTTGGCAGTAACTGCCTCCCCTCCCCCCCACATGCACTAGAAGTCAAGCTGCAGCCCTGTATCTTCACCACCTGTTCATGAAGCTACAAAATCAGTGTTAACCTCTATAAAATTACAGTGTTACTTATAATGCCAACACAGGAAATCTGCCATTACCTGGTAATGATCAAGTAGTAAAGACCTAAATTTGTCCAGCTGATTTTTAATTAACCTTCACTTCCCAAAGTTAATGTATAAAGTATCTGGTTTAAATAATTCATCAAAAAACACCAAAGACTCTTTTCATAAGAACATACCCCGAACTTGGAATTTTATAAAGACAGAATAAATTAAGTCCTGTTTTTTAAAGGTGTCACTTATTTACTTCTAGAGAGAGGGGAAGAGAGGAAGAGAAACATCAATGTATAAGAGATACATCCACTGGTTGACTCTCACACACCCCCAACTAGGGACCTGGCTCGAAATCTAGGCATGTAGCCCTGACTGGGAATTGAACCAGCGACATTTTGGTTCCTAGGCCAGAACTCAATTCACTGATCCACACCAGCCAGGGCTAAAATGTTCTATTTTTAAGTGTAACATTGCTATTTCCTATTTGACTATGATCTATAACCCCAGAGATTCCCAAAAAATGTACTGAATTACACATTTACCTTTTTAATGGGTTTCTTAAACTCCTGAAGCTCTTCTGCACTCATGTCTTCCCATATCTGATAAATAGGATCAATAAATTTCTTTGACCTGTCAACAAAGATCGTATTTCGAAATCAAGTTCAACGCTACAATGAAGGTCAAAACATACTTAGCTCAGCTTTCACAAGACCTAGTACTCAACGTGAAAACAATGACTCCAATAATAAATGCCAAAAAGTACTATACAAGGAGGGACCAAAAAAACCAGAATTATCTTCTGGAGGGCGGGCCCCTTGTAGTATTGGCTTCTCTGATTAGGTGAATGTTACAGGAACCCATCGGTATCCATGTACCAGCTGGCATTGTTGTAAGAAGCTGCATTCTGCTTTGGCAAAACATTTTTTGGAAGACTCTTTCAATGCATTTGCCCATTTCATGATGGGCAAATTACTAACACATCTGCCCACACCACACACTGAGTGTTAAGCAGTTTTTGATAAAAAATGGCATTACCCCATGCCCTGCCCTCCCTATTCACACAATCCCGCCCCAAGTGACTTTTGTTTGTTTGTTTCCCTGATGAAAAAATTCCTTAAAGGGAAACGTTTTGATGATGCAGAAGAGATGAAACAAAAAATGGCAGAAACACTAAAAGGCCAAAATCGATGAGTTCAAAACCTGTTTTAAACAGTGGAAAAAAGTCTCCATAGGTGTACCGCATCAAATGGAGAGCACCTGAAGGTGAGTGAAGTTTACACATGTAAGAATAAACACACAATTTTTTTATAAATAAATTCCTGGGTTTTTTTGGGTCCCTCCTCATACCTAAGTATGTAACTAATGTGACTACTTCCTTTTAAGAGTTCATCCCCTCATAAGTATGGAGTATTATACCTACTATTTCTCATCTTTTCATTTTCAAGTGCAATTATTTCTTCACTTTGTATAGCTTCACAATGAGTTATGATGTGTCCAAATGAAAACAAAAATTATATTATGGAACTTTCTTTCTTATAGTCCCATAGCAATTCACTAAAAATAAGTTTGGAAAAAAGACCAATCTGGTTTCTGTTAATCAGGACTTGGGGGAACCAGGTAATCCCAAATTGTTGTGTTGCTAGTTTGAAACTAATAAAATAAAAATTCTGCTTCCTTGTACAAATGCAAACTGAATACTGGCTTGGCGGTTTTTCAGAATTATCCATCAAAATAAACCTCCTGGCTTTTGTTTCTCCTGTGCGGCAGTATGGGATGTGGTGTCTAGAAGACAAAACAGCATCCTCCCTATCTGGGCACTTAGAGGTTTAAACCAATAGATTTACAGAAAAACAAAAAACCCTTGGCATCAACCTGGGTTTCTAATGGGGCTAAGATCTGCAAGCCCTACACAGCACCTGTGACACTTCCCAGCCTCTCACGGGCCTTCTCTACTGTGGGCCTGTGAAAGATGTGAGAGACATGCAGGCAGCCATAACTTTATGAACAGCTAGGCATAGCTGGCCACTTATGACAAAGAAACTCTATATCTGAATCTTGGGAAAAGCAAATACACAGTGCATTTAAATTCACCGGCAGCTGACTGTCTAAGAGTACCTACCTCTTAAGCACACAAGGATCGAAGGGAAAGAAGGTGTCCAGTGGGTTTGTGCAGGTTTGCACTGAGTCCCCTCCAGCTGTATTTCTAATAATTGGTAGCATCTGGCGATTATTCCTCTCAATGATAGTGTAACAGAAGACTAGCTGGTATTTACTGTGGAGCAACAGAACCAACAGAGGCATAAGCGTGCTGTCATTACTCTCCACAAACATGCCTGTACATGAGTGACAACTATACTGACCACACATACTGCCAAACATAACAAGGGCAAGAAAAACAAACATAAAGCAGAAAGTAATGCATTTAGGGTATAGTGCTCTGGATCTACTATTTACAAGTTTGCCAAGGAGGAAAAAAATGTGGCTATCACTTTAAGAAAATAAGAGTGGGCTAAGATTATTAATATGCACAACTCATTAAGAATTACATGTGTTCATGGTAAAACTACTCTAGTTTACAAAAATAACATGTCTTTACTCATTTATTTTTACTGTTTATAATAGAATTAGGGGGTTGGTGAAAATGGGATTCATGGTTTCCTGAGAGGAGATCATGAGTGATGACAGAGAGACTTGGCTGCTGAAAATTTAGATGGCACTGAGAGAGGGACTGGGATGACTGAGTTACAGTCTCAGAAAATGGTAAAGAAAGGAACAGACACAGCAAGTAAGAAGTTACATATACTGACGAGCTCTAGATATAAAACAACAGGACCACTATTGCCAATTCTTCTGGTGGTTGCTTCCACACGCCTTGGCCACCTGAATCATTAACCAACTGTTTCTGTGAGACAAGGATTTAGCTCATTTCTGCTACTCTCTACCTCCTACCCTCCCTCCCACATTATTCACTCAGGTGTATCTTCTCAGGTCGCTATTGGAATTTTAAGTTACTTAATGTTTATTTCTGTTCCAGTAGCCAAGGATCGTATTTCACTCTGTACTCCTTGTGGGAGGGTAAACTGGCAAAAGCATGCTGGAGCACAGTGTGCAGGATCTGGCCAAGTTCACAATGTGCATCCCCCACATGCAGCAGCTGTACTCTGAGTGTACAGGGAATGTGCACCTTTGCCCCAAGACACACATAAATCCACGTCCCAAGGCTGCTGTTCCCAATACTGAAAAACTAACAACTTAAATGCCAACAAGGAATCAATTTAAAAACCAAAAAAAATAAATAAACTAAAAATTAATAGAACATTATACAGCAGTTAAAATCAAAGTACAGATGTATGAATTGATAATGAATCTCAAAACCATTAACAGCAGCAGCTACAGAATTATAAACTCAATACAAAATGTTATACTTCACTCTTAACCTCCATTGCTAACTCCAACCCAAAATCTACAACCTCTCTACCAGTCTGTTCATCAACTGCAGGCCCCTACTCCCACCCCAAGAATATCCTCGGGGAGCCGCTGCCTCTACTTGCTCACCCATCCTTAGACCACATATCTTCCCACAATGTGCAGCAACATGTCACCACTAAACACTAGTCTTTGTTCGTCCCTTTATTCCTTTTAATTCTTTACCACTTTTGAGATCTCAGGAGAAAGAAAACCATGAAGTAGATGCCCAGCAAAGAAAAATAAGACTGCAGAATGAGAGCAGCAAGCTGTCTAAAAGGGACTGAGGGATGAATTATTTTTATCTTAGATCTTGTCTGCTGAAAATTTTAAGCTATGAGCCTGACCTGAACATGCCGATTAAACGCCCAAGGACTCCAATTCGCTGTCTACGTGAAGCAGAATAATTCAGTAAATGCTCTGTAGCCAGAGTGCCTGCATTCAAACCTCAGCTCTGCCCCAGTCTAGGTATGACCTCACAGAGTCATTTAATCTCTCTGTGCCTCCATCTTCCTATTTATAAACGGGTAATAATTCAGTCACAGGATTGTGTGAAGTTTCAGTGAGTTCTACATAGAGTACACAGACTTATGCCAGGCACACAGTAAACTATGCATTACCTGTAGTTACAAGGCCTGAGAGAATACAGTCCCTCACTAAACCAACCCCCTATTGTTGCAGATTTATTTCACGGCCAGTCTTTTTATTACTATAATAGAAGTCACTCTAATAAACATCTTTGATTTTGAATGCCACCAAAGTATAAAAAATAGCTGCATTTCCAGTGTTTCCTCCAGTGTTTCCAGTGTTGGGTTACTGGTTTTTAAATGTAATGTTATTAACTAATTTTATTAGTTTCACAGAAATATAATGGAATTTTATAATACCAACAGTAACATAAATTCACTTTTAAATAACTTCCACCAACAAAATACAAATAACTTACCTTGTAATTGCAGCAAAAAAGTTAACTACTGAGGGCAGGCAAATCTTTAGAGGATTTAGTTGACTCATCACTATACGTTCAAAATTTAGACTTTGAAGGTACCTCAAACCTTTGGGGGAAAAAAAAAACAAAGGATTTTTTTAAAAAGTAAAAAGGTAAGTCTTTAAGAAGCACAGATTTTTTTTTCACAGATTAAAAAATAACTTTAAAAGTTAGTTGTAGGTGAAAGGTGGAAAATTGTACTTGAATAAATAGAAACAACAGAACAGAACAGAATAGAATAGAATAGTTGTAGAATTGCTTTAACTAAGGTCCATGTAGACAGTCATGCAATGTGGAGCCCAGAAGACTATCACAAGGCTACATTCATTTATGACTAAGGCAACTTTTGTAAAGAAAATTTGATTCTTTTAAAGAACCAGGAACTAAACAAAGATTCCTAATAGGCTATTAGATTGTTTGACAATCTGAAATTCACATGTATGTTAGAGAAAATCATATGCTACGTTTAAAGACCATGTAACTTGGCCCTGGCTGGGTGGTTCAGTTGATAGAGCATTGTCCTGGTATGCCAAGGTTGCAGGTTTGATCCCTGGTCAGGGCACATGTAAGAATCAGGCAACGAATGCATAAATGAGTGAAATAACAAACCAATGTTTCTCTCTCTCTCTCTCAAAAATCAATAAATATAAAGGCCATGTGATTTGATTTCAGCTAACAATCATGAAATCATTAAAAACTTCTGGCAACAAAGTGGTCTCCAACCCCTGGAAATAATGATTGTACAGTGTGGAAATTCTCCTTTCTGAATCCCATATATCATATATATAAATATATATATATATATATATATATGCCAATCCGACAAGCAACCAATGACAGGGAAAAAAAATCAAGACTTGTATGTCTTAAATTAACAGTAAAGTTAATGTATATATTATTTTTGGGTTTTTCCTTTTTTTATTGGGGTAACAGTGGTTAACAAAATTATACAGATTTCAAGTGCACGATCCTGTACCACATCATCTGTACACTGTACTATGTGTTCACCACCCCAAGTCAAGTCTCGGTCCATCACCACTAATCCCCCCTTTTAAATCCCCTTTACCCTCCTCCACCTCCCCCCTCCCCTCAACTATTACCACAATGTTGTCCTTGTCCATGAGTTTTTCTCTTTTTTTATTTGCTCTATCCCTCCACCCCTAAGTTGAGCATGTTTTTAAATGTACATTGGTTGTTTGTATTCCACATTTTTTAAAATTAAAAAACTATGAATGTAGAAGGAAAAATTACAAATTTCACTGTCCAAGAATTAATAAATACAACTAATTTTTAACTCTCCTATCTTTTCAGAGGTGTACAGGATGTAAGTAAATATATATTGGTATAATGTGGCACATACAAGTTTCAGTTTAGAGCTGTGGTTCTCAACTCAAGGCAATTGTGCCCCCAAAAGGACAGACATCGGTCAGTGTCTACGGACAGTTTTGGCTGTCATGAAGAGGGTGAGGAGGGGTGCTAGAGGGTAACAGGGGCTGCTAACCATCCTGCAAGGCAAAGGCAGCCGCCATAACAATTATCCAGCCCAAATGTCAGTAGTGCAGAGGGGAAGAAACTCTAGAGGAAACAGCCTATTAAACCATTTGCATTATTCATGAGAGTAAACAAAATTTAAGTTAATGTAACTGACATCCCTACTGTGGACTGTCTTTAACTAAAATACACTAACCCAATAAACAGGCTTCATCTGATAGATTTTAATTATAAACCCTCAGAAATCAGCAAAACTGAAAAACGGCATTTTCTCAAGTCTTTAGATAAAGGTGTATAATCATTATGGCCACAGTGTCACAACCATCCTCACCTGGTTTCAATTTCTAATCCTGCCAGTAAATTACTTCCCTCTCTTTCTCTCTGAAGTGGAAATGACACCTGCCCTTCACTGCCCTTGTTCATTACAAGGACAAGGAGGGGTGTGTGGGAAGCTCTGAGCATGGCGCTGGCACAGTACAAGTGCTCGGCCTCCCCCTTACAGAAGAGCATCTTCACATCTTACCATGACTCTAGATGCCACCCTCTAAAGCCGAGGTTATCAACCTCAAATCCATCAACTAGTACGAGGAGGCTTCAGGGGTTTGGGGGGCCTATAAGCTGCTTGAAATTCTTTATAAAAGTTTGGGTGCATGTGCAGTTTTCTGACATTCAGTTTTCTGAATGTTTTTATCACATTCTCAAAAACAAATCTCCATTCTAAAGGGTGACTAGCATACAAGGAAAATCCAGTTCACATCCATCAATCCCACATCACTGACCTTCCTTCAGGTTTCCGCTTAAAAGCTGCTTGTGTCTAAAAACAAAGGTGTAGAACACAGCTTGACAGGCTGAGTAAAATGGTCCATGAAGAGCAACATCACAAAATGCCTTTGTTCCTGAATCCTGGTTATTAAGGTATATGTGCAGCCAATTAACCAAAAGATCTAGGCACGATTTTACAGTACTAGAGGAAAGAAAAAGTCAAGTCAACTCCATTGGCTTCATTAAAAAAAAAAAAAACTATAGTGACTTAAAAAACACAATCGCCTCTCATTACAAACTAAGAAAAGTCAGTCCATAGGATCCTTTATATATTACCCATGGGCATAAAGGAGAAACAAAAAAAGAAGTAGGATGGGTGGGTGGGTTAAGACAGCCTTCCAATCACCAGGTAGAGCACACAGACCTCCTAGGAAAAACAGGCAGTAACACCTGGAGTCCCAAGGGATGGAGAACAGTTTCTCCTTATCAACTCAGAAAGGCTTGTCCAATGGGCCCCCAGCCATCTTAGAGGGATTTGGCCAAAGACTGGAGTGTGTTTACCAATAGCTTATAAGGAAAGAGTCTGGTTGATTTCACTATTCCCTATGGGACTCTGATGAAGACCTGTGTCAACAATTTAGAACAGAATGGCCAGATGGCTTTTAGTTGTTGAAGGAGGGTCTTTAACAGCACCCTGGCCCAAAGTTATTTCCATGGATGACTAGAAATAGGCCCAGAGCTGGCCTCCTACATGGATCTTTCTATTACCTTTAAAAGGATTTTCTCCTCGGTTCTGACAGATACAATTCAGAACACAAATGAAAAATTTGACAAACCTATAAAAAGAATCAAAACAGCATACAACACTGCACACTATCCATGGAGAAAAGTGGATCTTCTTGTTCAAGTGCAACCATACTGAACAGATGACAAAAGCTTTGCATATGAAGTTTTATATCTAACAAAGGAGATATTTTATTGGGAAATTGCCTCTTGAAAATATAAACATTTTGCAGAGAGTGAGGAAAGACTTTTTCACTTTAAAGGAAGACTAAAAACATAGCGCAGATATTTCTCTGACTTAAAACAATGCTATCATCTTTTAAAGCATGATAAAAAAACACTTGGAAAATTAGGTTACTTACATAAGAGGAATATATTTAGCTCTTGCCAAAAGGCTTCCAATATAATTTCCAGCAGCTTGCCTGATGATGGCAGGGTTATTTGGATCCTGCAATTTTTTCCAGAGATGTTCCAAAAATGCTTCTGCAAATCCCTGTAACAAATGAAGGTGTTAGTCTGATCTTTTTTTCCCCAAATAGATTTCATGTTTTAAAGAAGGGGGGTAGAAAGAGAAGAAGAGAAATATCGACTGGCTGCCTCTTGTATGCACCCCTACCAGGGACTAAACATGTAACCTTGGCACAAGCCCTGACTGGAAGCGAACACACAACCTTTTTGCTTTGCGGGACAACTCCTAACCAACTGAGCCACACCAGTCAGGGCTAGACTGATCTTTTTTAATTCTTAAGATATTTTAGCTATCAGAATCCTAGGATTTTACCTCACCAATGTGGGAACATTCTAGTATCTCAGTTATATTACTAGATGAGTAATCAATAGTTACCACGGTTCTTATTTTTAAAATACCTTGAGATAACATTAAAAAGGCAGGACTGGCACAGAGTGGGGTAGGTGGGTGGCTGCTATGCATTAATAAAAGTACCTTAGCAGAACACTGAGAACTCAGTGGATTCAAAGTCCATTAAAAATTCAGAAACAAAGCTCTTAAACGGTAGCAAATCCACAAACTATGGAATATCCTTGGACAATAGTTACAAAATGGATTATCCTAAAGTGGGTTTATGTATAAGTTTCATAAAATATTGGAATGGCATCTTGGTCTGGTGCAGATGTAGATGTAGTAAACCTCAGGGAAACATTCATGAACTTGAAATATGAAGTCAGGAACAAAAATGATCTTACAGGTGAAGGAAGTGTGGAATTGAGATGCAATGTTTCTAAAGATTATAGCAAAAGGAGCAGTTTTATTTGTGTGTTTCTAAGCCATGGTGATGAAGGAGTAATTTTTGAAACAGATGGACCTGTTGACCTGAGAAAATGAACAAGTCTTTTCAAAGGGGATTATTACAGAAGTCTAACTGGAAAATGCAAACTTTGCATTATTCGGGCCTGCCAAGGTACAGAGCTGGATAACATGTCAAAAAACACCAGTTGAGGCAGACTTCCTATATGTGTATTCTACAGCACCTGGTTACCATTCCTGCTGAAATGCAAATAATGGGTCTGGTTCATCTAATCACTATGTGCTATGCTGAAACTGTACACTCACAAGCTTGAGGTTACCCACATTCTTCCTCAGGTTAACTGAAAAGTAGCAAGAGAATTCAAGTCCTTTTCCTTTGACTGATTTTTCATGCAAAGAAACAGATCCCATGTATTGTGTCTATGCTCACAAAAGAACTATATTTTTATCACTAAAGAACTATATGATTTTTTTAGTTTGTATGTGAAGTGAGGGAAATGGTATAACTGATACTGTCTTTTCCCATCATTTAAATCTAATCTGATACTCCAGTTTATATATTTTTTAAAGATTTTATTTATTTTTGGACAGAGGAGGAGAGAGAGAAACATCAATATGCAGCTACCTCTCACACACCCCCTATTGGGCACCTGGCCAACAACCCAGACATGTGTCCTGACTGGGAATCAAACCCCTTGGTTCACAGGCCGACACTGGAGCCACTGAGCCATATCAGCCTGTACTTTTGAAACATGCCACCTTCATAGCAACAGAACTACTATGAAGCTACCTCAAATTCAGAATCAGGTAGTTGAAAATGAATTTAACTAGGAATAAATAAATGGAACTGGTTTAATTATGAGAGGAACTGATTGTAAGTTAACTCCTCTCATAATCAGCAGGTTTTAGTGATGTTATGCTATGAAATTTCAAGTAATTAGGAGAGAAACATTGAGTAATAAATTTCAACAATACTGACACGCTCTCATTTAAGAGTATATATTCTAGCTTTTGTCAGCCTACAGAAGTGATGATAAAGTAATGTATGATGATGGGATAATGTGTATAGAATTTAGGGAGCCATGCCCATGGCACTAAGACCTTAATTTTAGAATTGGTACTTGGAGATAAATTAGCTGTGTTTTTAGATTATTTAATCTCAGTGTATGTTTCCATGATGTTTGTCCTAAGCATGTTTATTATAAAAAATCATGTTTAATATTGAGATATATTTTACTTGAAAGCGTGAGCAATCCAAGTTGGCAGTTTTCAGGCTGCAAGCGTCCTCATGAGAAGGAGACCGAATTAGAACTGTGAAATGCTCCAAGGCAGCTCATCCCCCAGCAAGTGTCCTGTGTCTGTGTTTGTCCCTGTGCAGTCTGAAGAGCTGTTAAGTCACAACCTTGAACTGTTGACCAAACTGAGACTATCATGAATGGACGAAACTCTATCAGAACATGTTAAAATACAACTTATAAGATTAATAGTGAAATGTAGGGAAGAAATAAATCAATCAGCTGGGCACTCTATAATTGGAAGGCGGCGTGGGCCTGAGCAGAGACACAGCAGGGCCTAGGCAATGAAGGTGGGGCCACAGACCATGGCTTCAGGAGGAAGACCACCAGTTTCATCCTATATAATGGTGCGCGTGGACAATGTCCACAGGGAAGGAACCTCCAAGAAAGCGAACCAATCAGAAACTTAGGGAATGGAAAATTTCTAAAGATGGCGCGAGTCACAACAATATCCATAGGACCCTCTGTAGTAAAATTTATCATATTACTTTCTGCTGAAGCTTATGATCAAAGGAAAATGATACTATATATATGTAATCACATACTGTTCTCTGAAATGAAAGGATGATTAACATACAAGATTTTTGGAAACCATCCCGTCTTCCCTGCTTTGGTGCCTAGGGAAACTGAAGGCCAGCGGGGAGAGCAGCAGCACAGCCTCCAGTCCGAGAGGCCAGGCTCTGAGCCTCCTCCCTCACACAGAGAAGTGAAGAGCCATTCACAGCGTTATGTGTCCTGGTTTTCATTCCGGACATTTCATGTGAGCTTTCTTTCACTCAGAGAAACAAACTCTCATTTATGAATGACAGCTATATTTTTTTTACTATGTAATTTTTCTAAGTAAATGAAGCATGTAATGTGATGCTTCTGTATTTGTTATTATGAATTTTCATTTCAAAATATAAATGCTAACAGAATGTTTAAAAAGATTTTATTTATTTATTTATCTATCTATCTATTTATTTATTGAGACGGAAAGGGAAGGAGAAAGAGAAAGAGAAATATCAGTGTGTAGTTGCCCCTCACATGTCCCCAACTGGGGACCTGGCCTGCAACCCAGGCATGTGCCCTGACTAGGAATCGAACCAGTGACCCTTTGGTTCGCAGGCCTGTGCTCAGTCCACTGAGCTACACCAGCCAGGGCAGAATTTTTTTTAAGCTCCCCCCACCCCCCGCAAGTGTTAAATAATCCAATGGATCCCAAAACAAGCTTAGCATTAAAATCAACTTTACGGATTCAGTAGGTTTGTAACAGGGATTTGCAATTGCCTATTTTAAAAACTCCACAAGTGGTTGTGACACTTAGGCAGTGGAAATCAGTGAAATCCACACTCACATGGGAACCACTTCTGCAGGACCTTTCAGAGTGCAAAGTAACCATCCAGTCTTTGCACTCTGTGAATTAACTTCACTAGTATGTGCAGCCACTTAGTTAATCATGCTTCTTTTTAACAAAGGATGCATTCCCCAACTTCTTCTAAATAGCTCTTTCCAAAACTTCTAACACATACTTTGACATAGGCTGATTTTAACCTTCTTACCCATAACCAATACCCTCCTGATTATTCTAGAAAGCTACAAAATACGTACAAAGGAGAAGAGTCTTCCAATAATTTTTTTCCCCCAAAATAGAAAGCCAAAGCCTAAAAAAAGGTGGTTTGAGCTAGTGAGAATCAACTGAGAATAGAAAAAGTAAACAGTTAAATAATCAGTATGAGCCCTGGCCTGGTAGCTCAGTTGGTTAGAGCATCATCCTGATACACCAAGGTTCTGGGTTCAGTATCTGGTCAGGGTACATAAAAGAATCAACCAATGAATGCGTAAGTGGAGCAACAAATTGATGTTTCTCTCTCTTTTCCCCTCTCCCCTCTCTAAAATCAATAAAATAAGCCCTCCCTGGTGTGGCTCAGTAGGCTGAGTGCTGGCCTTCAAACTTAGGGGTGGCTAGTTCTGTCAGAGCACATGCCTAGGTTTTGTGGGCTGGGTCCCCAGTTCAGAGTGTGCGAGAAGTAACCACTCGGTGTTTCTCTCACTCATAAATGTTTCTCTCCCCTGCTTTCTCCCTTTCTTCCCTTCTCTCTAAAAAGTAAATAAAATCTTTCAAAAAATCTATAATAATTTAAATGCAATATCCCGTATGAGATTTTAATAAAGGCTTGAATTAAATGAAAGCACACCACCTAGTGGACAAGATGCAGGATGACATTTTTCAGAGCACTTGGCTGATCAGAAAGGCAGCAATGCCCTCTGCTCTTTCGCACATTCAAGGCAGGTACTTTCAAAGAAAAAGAGATATTCACCTCATGATCTTTCTTCCCAACTCTCCATCCCCCAGTTTTTAAGGGAAAATCGGGGACAAGAATAAATAAGCTCTGATGATGTTAATGACATACTCACCAACTTAAAGCTGCAGAGGTAAAACATGAAAAACTGTACATGGCAGGAGGCATGGGTGGGCAACAAGAGTTTGTCAAAGATGATTATGAGATCACGATATAAATCCTTTGTTTTGTTGATATCAATCTTACCTACAGGGAAAATATGGCATTTCAGTTTTATAAAAACATTATTTTCAAGCTACCAGTTTCATTTACCAAATTAAAAAAATAATAATACCATTAAGAAATACATCATCATCCACTATGCTATGACTAAAACTAAACGCCATTTTTATTTTGCACAAATTTTCCTTTTCAAGTATAATAATCTGGCTCTGGCAGGGAAGAAGGCCCTCACCTCACACACACTGCTCTGATGCCATAAATATGAACCTTTCTAAAGGGCGATTTTACAGTGCATGTGGGCAGAAGTCCTTTGATGGAGTAATCCTACTGCTAGGAAGTTAATAAACCAAACAACTGAAGATAATGTACAAGAATGTTCATTACACTATTATTTACTATCACAAAAAGGGGCAGGAGTAAAAGAGACCATTAAATCCATATGATCAACAGCAACTACTTTAAAAGAACAGTGAATGGTATGAGAAAAGGGCAGATTATGAAACACCACATACAGTATGACCCCCAAATCCACTGAAAACCATACTCATCTATATATGCATACTAACAAAAAAGAAAAAAACATTTATCAAAATGCTCATAATGGTTCTCTAAATAGTAGGAATGTGGCTATTTAAAATGCCATTTTTTTAATCCTTTCCTATAATTTCCAAATTTTCTCTAGTCATATAACAGCAAAAAAAGTTAAAACACTAACATAGTCAACTCTCAGATTCAAGTTTTATTCTGAGTGGCTGAGTTTCATACTTAAATCTAAGCAATGTGAATAGAAAAAAAATTCTATTTTCATGGCAAAGCCTCTAAACTACAAGTTCCATGACTGAAAGTCCACAAGGGCAGGAAGCCTATCGATCTGCTCCCTTCAGTGCCAACACCTGGCATTGTCACAGCACCAAGACCCTCTGCACTCAGTACATCACACCAAGCACCACACATCAGTGTCTGCTGTACCATTCCTAAATGTCTTCAACTACTGCGGTTTAATCTGATCTCCACCTAAAAGTGACCAAGTGCCATACACAATCTTTTAACCCACTAGTCAGTGAAAAGATCAAGGGCTTTGAAGATATGTAACTGAGCCTGAATCCCAATGACACCATTTTTAAGCTATGTTATATTGGCAAGTAACTTAATCTCTCTACACTTTCTTTTCCTCATACTCAAAATAGTGATTTTCACAGGATTTCTATCAGCACCAGATAATGTATGAGAAACACCCAGCCCAGAACCAGGTACACAGCAGGTGTTCGATAAACAGTAGCTATTGTGACTAATATAGATCATTACCATCTACATAGCAGACATCCTTAATGTAGGACAAAAGTAAAGACAGCAGGATATCCAGGCGTTCTGCGACAGGATGGACCATCTGACTGAGCCTTTCAGGGTCAGCCTTTGTTTCGCGTTCAAGAACTTCATCTTCATCCTTTGAATATAATGTAAACACTGACATTACAAATTTCAGGAAAAGTAGTTTAGTGAGAAAACTGTCTGTGGTGATTATTTCTTTTAAAAGACAAAACAAAGAAAACCTATCCCAGGTTGGAGCTCTAAACCAGAGGTATGAATCAGAACCACTCGTGGAATTCGAAGCAAAAGCACAGGTTCAGAGCCCTGGCCTCTGGTTCTCACCTAGAAGACCCACGCAGAGCATGGGCATGCAAACATCGTGGATCTTCCCAGCTCCTGGCACCCACTGTGGTGGGCACTGTTGATGCCAAGGCCTCCTTTCCCAGGACAGGGAACTCATGCCCCAGCTGCTGTGAGTTTTGGCTGCAAATAGCTCACAGCTGCCCCCCGCTTCTCCAGAGAACTTACCTTCAACAGAACAGGAGCCAGAACTGCCCTTTCATTCCTTTCGGCAACATCCCTTCAGAACTAATGACTGACTGACAAGGGGTCATCAGAGACCATCTCCCGCTTCTCAAACTGGGATCAACTCTCTGGTACAATCATGTTTCAGGGCTCTTAGTGCAATCAGACTGTAGCTGCTTCCCACTCCTGCTTAGGCCCCACCCCTGCCCTTTCCTGCCCCCTCACACCCCTGTCCAAGGGAACCCAAATCCCCGTCTCAGCTCTCCTCCCAGTGAACCCAACTTAAGACAATGTACCAGGTATAGAAGTACTGCTTTAAGGTATACAACTTATAAAATAAAATACAGATATTAGGTTGATATGCTCTTCTATTTATCACTCCCTTACCAATAATAATGTGGTTACAAAAACAAACAACGAACAATAAAAGTGAAGCATGCTTACCAAACCTAAATTCAAACCTTGGAAACCAAACAAGTTACAGTAAGCAACATGGAAGCAAACTACTTCATTTAAGAAATCATTTTCAAAAAAAGAAAGAAAAATCTATTTTAAACCAAAGCGTTGAAGAAGATTAGAGGCCATTAGCTGTCTCCTCCCACATTCTGGACTTATGAACCAGGTATGCCTGCTTTCACTAATAAACACTGACCATATTAAAAAGTCCTTCTGTGGCGTCTGTTCCACTACCAGTTTGAGCTGCTATTTCCTCAGCATCTTCAATATCCTGCCGGGACGCACTCACCTACATTATAACAAAGGAAAAAGAAAGAAACCATTTAAAATCCCACTACGTCATTTGGAGAATGAAAATTCATCTGACATACTCATTTTAAAGGTGTCCAAATTAGTGCCATAACTCATTACATAATTAAGGTGCAAACCTATAAACTGGTTTGAGTCATGAAGGAACTTACAAGATTAAAAATCAAGTCCCTTTTACTACTTACATGAAGTCATTATTAACTATAGTGTGATAGTCTAAATTTGGAGAGCTTCAACAAACTCAACATTTATTCCAATTCCTACTATATACAAATACTCACATACATCTAGTATAAGAAGCAGTCTCAATTTACTGAGCAGAAAAATGATGAAACCCAAGTAAACTTTGAATTACAAAGTATTTATTTTGTTACGTATCTTCAAATATCTTGTTTAAAATATCAGTGATTTTTTACTATCTTTTTACATGCCTCTTCTTTACTATCTAAACATGAACTTCATGCCCTAGCTGGTGGCCTACGAACCAAAGGGTCACCAGTTCAATTCCTAGTCAGGACACATGCCTGGGTTGCAGGCCAGGTGCCCAGTAGGGGGGCGCATGAGAGGCAACCACACATTGACATTTCTCTCCCTCTCTTTCTCCCTCCCTTTTCCTCTGTCTAAAAATAAATAAATTACATATTTGTGTGTGTGTGTGTGTGTGTGTGTGTGTGTGTTAATATTTTACTTATTTTTAGAGAGAAGGGAAGGGAGGGAGAGCAACATTAATGCGTGGTTGCCTCTCATGCGTCCCCTACTGGGAAACTGGCTTGCAGCCCAGGAATGTGCCCTGACTGGGAATCGAACCAGCAACCATTAGGTTTCCAGGCCCATGCCCAATCCACTGAGCTACACCAGCCAGGGCAATAAATTAAACATTTTTAAAAAAATAAATAAAACATGAACTTCTTTCTAAATGTACTCTAAAATGTCCCACAGTAGGACTTTTGGTCAAGATGGCAGCTTGCCTGCTCGCACAACCACATCAAAATCACAACTGAAATATAGAACAACCATCACTCAGAACCATCAGAAATTGAGTTGAATGGAAATCTGACAACTATGGAATTAAAGAAATCACATCCATCCAGACAGGTAGGAGGGGTGGAGACATGGATTGGACTGGTCCCAAGTCCACATGTGGTGGAAAAACATTCAGGAGGGATATCTCATGAGCAAGGAGTCCCTGCCCCACACCAGAACCCCCAGAACAGGGATCCAAGGAAAGTAAGTCCCCACAACTTCTGACTGCAAAAAAACAACAAGGATTGAGTGGGGGGAAGAAACTACAGGAGTCCCAAGCAGTCCCTCTTAAGAACCACACATGGACTTAACTCACACTCACTTCTTTTGAGCTCCAGTACCTGGGTACCAGCTTGAAAGACACCAGTGGCACCCAGGAAGGTACTGAAGTGTCTGGCATCAAGGCCTAGGCCGGGGGAAAGCTTTCTCTCATTTTCTCTCAAATAGAAAGGCAGGCAAAGGCCACTGTTCCTTTTCTGAACCCTCCCCCTACATAGCCACAGAGCCAGCAGGCTGGTGCCATATCTGAGACTCCATCAACCTGGTTTACACTGTTTATCCCACCCTGGAGATCCCCTGAGACTCTATGCCACCCAATTTACAGGCACACCCAAGATATGAATGGCTGATCTTGATTCATGCTTCACAACTTCCTAAATCCTATCAAACAAGCAACAGACGATCTCAGTATCCTATAGCCCTCAATCTGCCTACCTCTTTCTAAGTGGCTCCAGGCTCAGCAATAGCAGCAGCCAGCCTAGATTCACAGCTTGGCTTCCTGGGAATCTCCAAGCCCAGTACTAGCAGCAGCCACCTCAGATAGCTTTTCAGCTCATGCAGGGTGGCCCCAGGCAGAACACAGGTGGATAATGACCTTGGCCTGCACCACCTAGGAACCCCCAAGGCCAGTGTACCCAGAGGACAGCTATAGACCATGTCACAGCACCTCCTCCCTGTCCCAGCACAGCTGATTCTCCACAGGGATGGGGAGTGGGGGTGGGGAGGAAGTTGGTGGTCAGTGGTCACAGTCAGACCTTGTAGGTCACTAGTCTGGGTAAATCCCTCCCACGGACCTACCAATAGCAATCAAGGCTCAACTACAAGGGGAGGGTATGCTCAGCCCACACAAAGGGTGCACTTCAAGTACCCAACTTGAGTGATAGGGGAGGCTGTGCCCCTAAACCCTGCAGGATGCCTACTACATTAGACTATGCTACCAAGACACAGAGTCAAAGCAGCTTTACCTAATACACAGAAAAGAGATACAAGGAGAATGCCAAAATGAGGAGGCAAACAAACATGGCCCAAATGAAAGAACAGATCAAAACCCCAGAAAAAGAACTAAATGAAATGGTGATAGGCAATCTATCAGATGCAGAGTCCAAAATATTGGTTATAAGGATACTCAAGGAACTCAATGAGGACCTCAACAACATAAAAAAGATCCAGTTAGAAAGAAAGGAAACACTAATTGAAATAAAGAACAATTTACAGGAAATCAACAATAAAGTAGATGAAGCTGAGAATCAAATCAATGATTTGAAACACAGGAAGCAAAAAACAAACGATCAAGACAAGAAGAAAAAGGAATCTAGGAAAACGAGGACAGTGTAAGGAGCCTCTGGGACAACTTCAAGCACTCCAACATTTGCATCATAGGGGTGCAAGAAGGAGAAGAGCAAGAAATTGGAAATCTATTTGAAAAAATAATAAAAGACAACTTCCCTAATGTGATGAAGGAAATAGACATGCAAAGTCTAGGAAGCACACAGAGCCTCAAACAAGATGGAAGCAAAGAGGCCTACTCCAAGACACATCATAATTAAAATGCCAATGGTTAAAGATGAAGACAGAATCATAAAAGTAGAAAGGGAAAAGTAGTTAGTTACCTATGGAGGAATTCCCATAAGACTGTCAGCTGATTTCTCAAAAGAAACTTTGCAGGCTAGAAGCAACTGGTAAGAAATATGCAAAGTCATGAAAAGCAGGGACCTACAGCCAAGGTTGTTCTAACCAACCAAGCTATCATTTACAATTGAAGGGCAGATATAGAGCTTCCCAGACAAGAAAAAACTAAAGGAGTTCATCTTCACCAAACCCTTACTAAATGAAATGTTAAAGGGACTTATTTAAATAAAAGATCAAAACTTTGAGCAATAAAATGGCAAAAAATACTTATCAACTGAATCTAAAAAACAAACTAAGCAAGCAAGAAGTGGTACGGAATCATGGATATGGAGAGCATTTTGATGTTTGCCAGATGGGAGGGGATTGTGAGGAAATGGGTGAAGATGTGAGAGGATTAAGAAGTACAAATAAGCCCTGGTTGGCATAGCTCAGTGGATTGAGCATGGGCTGTGAACCAAAGTGTCTCAGGTTCGATTCTTAGTCAGGGTACATGATGCCTGGGTTGCAGGCCATGACCCCCAACAACTGTACATTGATGTTTCTCTCTCTCTCTCTCTCTCTCCCCCCCCCCTTCCCACTCTAAAAATAAATAAATAAAATCTTAAAAAAAAAAAAGAAGAAGTACAAATAGTTACAGAATAGCCATGGGGATATAAGTACAGTATAGGAAATGGAGTAGCCAAAGAACTTATGCATGACCCATGGACACGAACAAAGGTGTGGTGACTGCCTGAGGGACTGTAGGTGCCAGGTGGAGGGGGACAGAGGGAAATATTGGGACTACTGTAAGAGCATAATCAATAAAATATAATTTAAATTAAAAATTTTTTTTAAATTTTCCATAAGTACTGACCAAAGAAAAACTTTACCAAGATTATGTATGCAGTTGGGCAGAGGTTAACTCCCAGTGAGCACTGTGTCAGCCTGCCCAACCTCCAGCTCTTCCTACACCTGCCTCCTTATAGCCTCCTTCTCCCCTATAGTATCAGTGTTCTCCTCCATCAATTCATCTCCTCAGTCCACAAACCTCAAGTCTCCCCAACCCTAGCATAGGCCTCTCACGCCTGCCTCATCCTCTGTTCATGCCACAAACCCTTACCAAGATCTGTTAATTCCACTTCCTCTAAAATGCAGTGTCCCCCTCCACACTTACAAAACAACAGACTTATCTCCCAATCACCAAATCTAAGGACTTTTTCTGTTTTCATTCTCCTTAAATTATCAGAAATACTTCAGGCTAACCAAACCCTTCCTTATTCCAGATCTTCCCCATACAACCATGTTCTCTGGTTTACCTCCCACTTCCTATCATACTTCCTGTCTCCTAAATTAAGCGATGTCCTAAATTACATCACTCTTAATGTTTGTACTCAGTTCCCTACCTGCAGCTACATCTGCTTAATGAGCACTCACCATCTAGCTCCCCACCTGTACACCTCAATCCATCCAAAATGGAACTCATCACCTTCCAACTTCCTCCTGACTTTTCTTACTACTGTTAATGTCAACACCAAGATTCCAAAGGGCTATTCCGTTCCTTTACCCCCTATTCACTCTCCACTTGCTACCCTGTCTCAAGGACCAGTTCACCTTTCTTCCACAATGTCAAGAGAATCCACCACTTTCTTTCATTCTCACTGCACCTTATTGCAGGTCACTTTAAATGCTTTCCTGACTCCTGATTACATCAGGTTTCCTAGTTCATAATAATGTATGTGTTCCACTCATAGCATTTACCACGACTATACTTTTACACTGGCGTGACTGTCTAATGTCATGCGCCCCAACCATGAGAAATGGGACTGTCTATAATCCCCAGCACACCAATGAATTTCAAGAAGTATACAAGAACTGAAACAAAAGTGGAAACATGAATTCTTTTCCCTCTTTGCTACTACTATTTCAAGTATGTTGATTATAACAAATACACATAATAAAGGAAAATCAAAGAGAAAAATTATTAAATACTTACATCCAGCTTGAGTAACTTTTCAATGACAAGCTCTAGAATTTCATGCCGCAAGGTTGGAAAATACACACTAATCCTTAGTAAGTTATGAACATAACATTCCTAAAACATGAAAAGATAAAACATTTCAACAGAGTATCTTTCAGTTATGTAAGAAAAGAATCAATTACATAATCTCTAGTTCCAATTACTTAAATAGAAAAAACAGACCGTCCAGTAACACAGAAACTACATTTTTTATACATTCATTTTCTGCCTGCACATACCAGTCTGTTGCATGTCACTGTGTAAATTACCCCCAGTAAAATACTAAAACAGGTTTGTTGAGCTGTATTTCATATATAATTCACCTATTTAAAGTGTATAGTTCAAAGGTTTATAGTATATCCAGTACTGTGCAACCATCATTATAACCAATTTTAGAACATTTTCATCACTCTAGAAAGAAACCGTGTTATCCTTTAGTACAGTACCTCTGTCCAGCTATCGGTAACCACTAGTCTTTCTGTCTCTATGAATTTGCCTATTCTAGACATTTCATATAAGTGCAACTTAAATTATGTGGCTTTTCATCATGTTTTCAAGGTTCAGTCATGTAAGCAAGAAAGTAAGCCTTTCCTTTTAATTGCGAAAAAATATTTCATTGTATAGACATACCACATTTGGTTCATTCATCAGCCAATAAAACATCTGGTTGTTTCTATACTTTGTCTATGATAAATAATGCTTCACATAAGTTTTGTGTCAACAAATGTTTTTCATTTCCCCTTAGGGACTGTCAAGACAGTTTTCCAAAGCAGCTGCACCATTTTACATTCCTATCAGCAATGTACAAGGGTTCTGATTTCTCCCCATCTTCATCACCACTTGTTACTACCTTTTTGAGTATTAACCATCCTAGTAGTTGCAAAGTGGTATGTTATTGTGGTTTTGACTTGCATTTCCCTGATGGCTAATGACATAATAAAGTTTTCATACGCTCATTTGCTCACCTTTTTTGAGGAAACACCTATTCAGATTCTTTGCCAACTTTAAATTGGGTTATTTGACTTTTTATTATTGAGCTAAGGGTTCTTTATATATTCTAGACACAACCTTTATCCCATATATGATTTCCAAATATCCTCTCCCATTATTTAGGTTGTCTTTTCACTTTCTTGAAAGTGTCCTATGAAACATGACTTTTTAATTTTGATCCAAGTCCACTTTACCTGCTTTTTTTTTTTACCTACTTTACCTACTTTTTCTGATTGTTTTTTCCGTGTCATATCCATAAATTGCTGCCTAATCCAAAGTCACAAAAATTTTAACCTATGTTTTGTGCTATGAATTTTTTTTTTTAGCTTTCAGATTTAGGTCTTTGATCCATTTTAAGTTCATTTTTGTATATGGTATAAGGAGAGGGTCCTACTTCATCTTTGCATGTAGATATCCACTTGTCCCCAAACTAGTTGTTAACAAGACTATTCTTTTCCCCATTCAACTGTCCTGTACAACTGGGTTTTGACCATGCTGAACTCATTTATTAGCTCTAACAGTGTTTTTGTGAATTCCTTAGGATTTTTCTACATGTGAGATTCTATCACCTGCAAATAGAGATAGTTTCACTTCTTCCTTTCCAGTCTGGATGTCTTTTCATTTTTTTGCCTAACTGCTCTGGCTAGAACCTTCAGTACAATACTAAAAAAAAGCAGAGAAGTAGACATCCTTGTTTTGTTCCTTATCTTATGGGAACACTTTCAGTCTTTCACCATTGGGTAGGATGTTAGCTGTGAGATATTTTTTTAATATTTTATTTATTTATTTTTAGAGAGAGGGGAAGGGAGAAAGAGAGGGAGAGAAACCACAGTGCGTGGTTGCCTCTCACATGCCCCCACACTGGGGACCTGACCCACGACCCAGGCATGTGCCCTGAGCCAGAATCAAACCAGCAACCTTTCAGTTCACAGGCTGGCACTCAATTCACTAAGCCACACCAGCCAGGACAACTGTGAGATTTTTATAGGTGTCCTTTCTCAGATTAAAAAAGGTCCCGCTTTTTGTCATGAAAGGGTTTTGCTGTTTGTCAAATGCTTTTCCTGCATCTATTGGGATGATCACATAGTTTTTGTCACTTATTCTATTGACCTGGTAGGTTATAGTAATTGATTTTAGGGTATTAAGTCAATCTTATACTCCTAGGATACATTTTACTTGGTCGTGGTGCATAATTCTTTTTATCTGTTGCCAGATTCAGTTGTCTCTTTCTAGTATTTTGTTGAGAACTTCTGCATCTATGTTCATAAGAGACATGGGATTTATAATATTCCACTTGAAGAACACAATCACAAACAAAAATTCATCAATTCCTTATAATATTTGTAATACAATATTTAGGAAAAACTAATCTTTGTAGAAGGGAACCACTAGTATTTATTGAAAACAATGTAGATGATCTAAAACTCAGAAAGGAATAAGTAAAACTTAAAACAGAATTCATCTACAGAAGGCTCTGCTCTGCATGTTCAAATAAGGCATACTTACAATTGATAATATATGAACTATTACCTTCTAGGAATTTTTATCTGTATAATCATGAAGCCTAGTCAGATATTTCTGAAATAAATCCTGCCTCTGGATTTATTTCACACAGAAATCAAAGAAGGTGGCAGCAGGGGTACTCAGTCACTTGGTGAGAAAGGAATCTGGGTCAAATTCTTGGACCTAACAGCATCCAAAACTAAATTACAAAAAAACAATTTTTCCATTATTTTCCCCATGAAAAGATTTCTTACCAGTGTTCTCTCAGATTTTCGAACAAATGGAAATTTTTCTACCAGTATTGGCATGAGAAACCACGGTGTCCTAGTGGGGAAAACAAAAAATCAACTCACCCATGTTAACTGAACTCTCTTGGAAGGGAACATTTCCATTCTAAGAGCAAATACGGATACAGAAGGCAAATGGTAACTCCTACCTCAAAGAATTAGAACTGAAAATTAACGCATAGCTTCAGAGAAAATCTGTAACTTAAGGGAAAATAAGCTACTATTCACTTTGATATCAATAGCAAATTGATATCAAAGGGGAATTCTTTTTTCTACAAAATCAAAAAAGAACATCAGTTTTAAATGTAAGCATTTTCTACTGCACACATAAATGATCAATTTGGCCTTTTTTTTTTAGACTTTTTAAATTTCTTTTTAGAGAGAGGGGAAGGGAGGGAGAAAGAGAGGGAAAGAAACCTCAATGTGTGGTTGCCTCTCACACGCCCTCTACTAAGGACCTGGCCTGCAACACAGGCATGTGCCTGACTTGGGAATCTAACTGGCAACCCTTTGGTTTATAGGCCAGCACTCAACCCACTGAGCCACAGCAGCCAGGGCTCAACTTTGATTTTTTTAAAGTTAGCAAATAAACAGAGAGGAAACTTAAGTCCAACCCTCCAAAATAAACCTATACACCTTAAAATTTCTTAGAATTACAATTTTTATTCAAATGGCATGACACAAACACACAGGGATTTCTCACTGAAAATACCTGAATATCACATATGTTGAAGATGAAAGCAAAATTCCAACACTATCCATACCTGGTGGAAAATTTACACCCAAGTTTTAAAAATTAAAGACAATGAATAAAAAGTCAAAATGCCATTTTTTGTAGAATGTGACGTTATAGCAATAGGATAAAAAAAGAAAACATGGAGCACACAACTTGAGTTTTGCTTCCATAAATATTTTGTAATTTCCTACCAACTGAATGCAATTTTCTTAAGACTTAAATACCATGATTCAAAAAAGTAACAAAAGCGTACTTACGATGGGACATATCTTGCTATTATTTGCAAGGCCCTGTGACATGTGTCAAAATTTGCAGGAAGATCTACAAGACAAAAAATGAGAGTAAGAACAGCAAAATAATGCTGAAAATTGAAAAATTATGCACTTGAAATGAAAAGCATCTGCAACCAAAACTGAATCATTTATCAGAGAAATAATTTCAAGATTTTTCTCCATAGCCAACTATCAATGAAGACTAAGTGGACTAATCATATAAGTAAACATGAAGGGTAATTGATTACCCTTGCCTTCTATACATGCCTATCTAACATGTCCTCTCTCTCTATATAAATAATTCCATCAAAGGTTACCATTAAACTTTATCATTCAGCATCCATTCTCTAAGACACAGCAGGCTTTTTTTTTTTTTTTTGGCTTTAATCCACTTTATACTTACTATCATCTTCGTCATCAGAATCTGAAACATCTATGTCACCTTCCTTAATGACCACTCGGGCTTTGGAATGAAAAACAAAATATATTATTCTTTTGTCATTGACCAACAAAAAAAGTGATTTTTCCATTGTCTAAACCAGTACAATGATTAAGTTTTCAATCTGGAGGGAAAAAAGTCACATAACTTTATAGTTTTTAAACAACTGAGTTCTAAGACATCACCAATGAAAGCAAATTACAACCCATAAAAATCACGGTGACAAGTCTGAACACTTCCACAGAGGTCATTATAGGGAACAAACATGTACCAGAACTGCGGCCAGCACGTATCCTAGAATCTTCAATGGTGATATAATCTCCAAGTATATTGGAAAGGTAGTATTTTAATAAAGATAATGAAAAAGTGGAAAATCAAAGCAAGAGGAACCACTCACGAGGGACAAAATGAGAAGCAATCATGCTGAGACACGGTCTAAGGAAGACAGTCTGTGCTGATACAAGATTACCCAGAAAAGCCAAATATTCCTCCACCACTGTCTGACTTCTATTCAACCACTGCAATCTCTAGAGGCAGGAGGAAGAGAAAGACAAAAGAAACATTTTACTGATACAAAAAATACTTTTTAAAGTACTGAATCACATACCAATCAGTAAAATAAATGGTGAACTTACCAGGAGAATATTGATAAGCTGCTCAAAGTCTTTGGTCAAGTACATGATAGAGGAACGGAATTCTAACAGCCAGTTAATGATCTGGTCATCCTTAAGTTAAACACAGAAAATTACTTTTAAAATCACAAATCCTCTAAAAGAACAGAAAAATGATATCTATCTTGTATCAATCACCTATCAATATTTAAATTAGGAAAAGTCACAAACTTGGACTTAAGCCAAAATTGGGATGAAAATTTCTTAGTTTGTAGCAAACTAGAAAAAGGTATTACAATAAATTTGCCCATTTTAGAAAAAAATGTAGCAACTCTAACACACAAGAAAAAGAATTAAATGTAGTACTTCCTTCTCATCACTTATTTGCCCTAAAAAAGTAAAAACCCTTCAAATGTTGATACTTGGGACTTTTGAATAACCACAAAATTACAGCAGATTCAAATATTATAAAACCACAAGGACCTCAGTCAAAGAACACATATGCATGACCTATGGACATGGATAATGATACAGGGCTTGCCTGAGGAGGGGGGCTGGGTCGAAGTGGGCAAAAGGGAAAAAAGTGGGGACAACTGTAATAGCATGAACAATAAAATGTAATTTTTTAAAAGAAAAAAAAGACTACAAGGACCAGTAAGTAGCTACCTCTATCCATGCTAACATGGAAGCATGTTAATAACATTCGATCTAGGCCAATTGACTAAAGTCATCAATAAATAAAAATTTTTCTCAGCCCAACCTGTCATTTGGTTTAAATGTACTAAGATGAATGAATGAATGAATGAATGAATGAATAAATAAATAAATGTATTAAGATGTTGTATAGCCCGGACCAATGTGGCTCAGATGGGCATCTGCAAAGTGAAAGGTCGCCAGTTCAATTCCCAGTCAGGACACATGCCTAGGTTGTGGCCCAGTCCCCAGATGGGATGTAACGGATCGATGTTTCTCTCACACATCAATGCTTCTCTCCCACATCAATGCTTCTCTCCCTCTTTTCATCCCTCCCTTCACCTCTCTCTTTTCTAAAACTAAATAAATAAAATCTTTAGGGGGGTGGGCTGGGATGGGAGTAAAAGACAGAAAACTGTACATGAACAACAATAAAAAAAACTTTAAAAAACATGTGTTATATATAAATGAAGCTTCCGCTACTCCATGAAATGTTTTTAAGGCAGTAAAATTACTGTTCACAACTTTTAGTAACATGGAAAAAACTGCTAAACGAAAAAAGAGATCTTTAACAAGCCTGGAAATTAAGGTAGAATTTAATTCATGGGTATATATTTAAAAAAAAAAAAAAAAAAAAAGGAAACAAGCCATGAATAAAATGCAGTATCAAGTTACATAAAAATACAGTCTGTATTCATGCATATATACAACATCCACAAGAAAAAACTAAATGTTCCATTTTTGAAAAATGGTTAATGCAGATAAGACTCAGTAGGAAAAGATATCTTAAAAAAAAAAAAAAAAGAGCAATACAGTGCCGTATCGATAGTGTGGAGGACAGTGAAGGCTGGCATCATGCAGCCGGAACCCCAGGGGTTAAGAAGGAGATAGTTAACCACAAGCTTCAGCTGAATGCAACTGTAACTTTTGCAGTATTTATCATTTAGATAGCCTGGAAACAGAGCAATTATGCCTGCAGGTTTTCCCTGAGTCTGCCAAACGTCCTTGAGCTTTATCTAACTGACCCTTATAAAACAAATGCGGAGACCATGTTCAGGGTCACTGTCTCTCCACCAGAGGACAATGCCCCACCTGGCCCCTACCTCCCCTCAAATTGTCTGTGCCTGTGTCTTTCTTAATCTCCCCTTGTCCCACCTCAGGGACCTCCTCCCAGCACTGGTCGGGGCAGTGCTGTAACTACAGTGACAGACTATTAATAGACAAGGTTGTACCTACAATTATAGACTATTTGTAGGATTTAGTGAGAGTACACCAGGTGCCAGGCACAGCGCTCAATTCTGTACATAGGTATCTTTTCCCAAATCTACCAACACTGCAAAAGGATTACTGTTACTACCATTTTACAGCTGAGGAAATGGAGGCTAAAAGAGATTAATAAGCAACTTGCCCAACCAAGAAGCCAATAACCAGGTTCACACTTACCTGTCCGGGTCAAAACCTAAAGCAAAGGTGTCAAACTCATTTTCACCAGGGGCCATATCAGCCTCAAAGTCGCCTTCAAAGGGCTGAATGTGATTTTAGGACTGTATAAATGTAACTACTCCTTAACAGTTAAGCGAGAGCTCGGCCCTGCCTCTGAGTAGAAACAAGGTGCAGGGCAGATAAAACAAGGTGGAGAGCCGGATTCTGCCTGTGGGCCTCGTGTTTGCCACCTGTGGGCCTCGTGTTTGCCACCTGTGGCTTAAACTCCACCCAGCTTCCCACACTGCCCTGTGCCTCCTTTACCCTACCTTCATTCAACCACCAAGTGCTTTCTATGTGCTATGTGACAAACTTCAATGAAATTAACTATTCTCTGATGAAACCCCATGTAAGCTGGCAGGAAAATAAAATAAACCACAACTAATTTGCAAAGTGGTTCTCTCATAATGTCCACAATCATCAAAGGTAACATTAATGGTGGCTTACCACCACCTGAGGCAAAGACAAGGTAAGTTACTTGAAAACAAAATGAGTTAGCTCTATCCTCTTTCCCATTAAAAGAAAAAATGTGACAAAAGTATAAGAGTAACATTTAAACTGCTCCTTTTTTAAAGTAGATCAGTCAGACTCTGGTGCTTTACTATTATCAGAAGCGTATTCCTTGCAACACCCCTCTGAACTATCATAGACACAACTGATGTGATTATCTGTAGGTCCAGATACTGAGGATGAGAAGTGCTAATATAGAATATAGTGGGACACAAAGGAAATGGTCCTTTGTACCTGTGCCAGAAGACAAGGGCCAGGGAAGCTTTAAACTGGAAGTGATGCTGCTGCTGTCTTTAAACCAAGTGAGTATACTCTGGGGGCTATATTCCTTAGAGAGGGAAAAGCATGTTTTCAAAAAACCAGAAGGAGTTCAGCATGGCTCAAGTACATAGTGAGCAAACCAACAGATAAGTCTGGGGAGCACAGTGGGGCCACATAAACCACTGAAGTCCTTATAAGCCAAATTTGCAATTAGGAAGATCTGCTGGAAGTGTGGGGCATGAACTGAAGGAAAAGCCATGTGCTTACAGAGAACCAAGTTAAGTCCCATTACAGAAGATGACATTTCAGCTGGATCCCAAAGACTAAGAGTTTTATAGATTATAGTAATAATACAGACAGTCCCCTATTTATGATTTGACTTAGTTTTTTGACTTCACAGTGGTGAAGATACCATGCAGTAGAAACTGCACTTCAAATTTTTAACTTTGACCTTTCCCCAGGTTAGTGATATGGGGCACAAAGCTCTCTCATAAAGCTGGGCAAAGGTAGTGAGATGATTTTGTCCAACTAGAGGCCAATGTAAGTGTCCCGTTTAAGGCAGACTAGGCTAAGCTATGGTGTTCAGTAGGTTAGGTATTTATCAAATCCATTTCTGACTTATGGTACTTTCAACTTACAATGGGTTTGACCACATCGTAAGTGGAGGTCAACTGTAATAATAAACACTAATATAATACTTACTTTGTGCCAGGCACTGTTCTAAGACTTTAACATATATTAATTCATTTAAACCTTACAACCACTCCCTGAGGTAAGCATTACCATTAGTTTCCATTTCACAGAAGGGGACACTGAGGTACAGAAACGCAGTAATCTGCCTTCAGTCACAAAGACAGTAAAGGAAGGTGGCCATGTAGCCAGTTACAAAAGGCCTCTTGCAGCCCAAAAGAAAAGACACATACAAAGGCATAAAGATGAAAACAAGTGGCAAATTTCTGGAATAAAGTATCTAGTGAGACTGACCATAGGGAAAAAATGCTACAGGATTCGGAAGATGGCAGTTGAGTAGGTGGAAGCTGAGCCCTCGTGCTTGTGACCCCAGCACAGATTTTCAGCTGATCTTCTGACAAGTGACTTGAACAATCAACGGACTCTCAGATAATATGAATTTTTGAAGCTAAGGACTACAGAGGATGCTTTACTCCATCCAGTAAGATTTTATAAATTGATGGGGAAATGCCTTGTGCGAGGCACCTGCAGCAGAGCAGAGGACAGAAAATGCAGCTTAGTGGCTACCTCTCCCAGAGCAGGACCCTGGTCTCACACAGGGAAACCACAGCCCGAATCGGGAGAGACTTGGAAGGATGTACACATCCTTGGGGCACTTAGGCTACACACACACAGTAAGGAGCACATCCATAGCTGCAGCGCCAACCTGCAGAGTTCCAGGGAGAAACTATGTCCTGAAACTGTCAGAGGCACTGGCAAGCTGTGGACAGCCCTGACCCAGAAGAGACTCCGTGCTTTTGGGGGAGGGAGAGAACACGAAGAAACTGGACCAAGGCTCAGTGCTGCAGTGTGGGGGCCACGTACAGACTCTGAAAAGAGGAGCTAAGGTAAGAATTGGCAGGGACCCTGTGCTCGCATGCATGCACAGAAGCTCTGACAACAAAGAAACCAGACTAAAAGCGCAATTTGGTCCCACTGAGTCCAGCTGCACAGGAAAAGCAGAAAGTGTCACGCTGAAGGCACTGTGGGACCTCACCCAGCATGGCTGAAGAGCAGGGTGCTGTGCAGAACAGAGAGTTTAGGCCTGAGTCTCCTGCCAGAGCAGCAGGCTGGAGACTGGACAGCCAGGAGCAGAACACCTGAGATTCACTTCAGCCAGGAAGGCCCCTCACAGGCAGGCGTACCCAACGCCCACTTGTGGGATTACAGGCTCTACAGATCAGTGAGACCAGGCTCAGGAGCCCCCTGCTCAGCATATATCAGCAGGGGAAAGAAGCAGCTCTGAAAGAACCCCTTTCCTAACTTCTTTCAGACACTACAAACTATCCTGGTTCCTTAGGCCCTGATCCACTAAAACCAGCAGAACACAGAGATCAGGGACAGGTTCAACAATGTGTGTTCAGGGCCCTGCCCAGCCTCAGCTCTTATACAGATCTGCCATCAGCACCAAGCAGAAAAGAGCTGCCCTTTTGCACAGA